CTTCAAATAATGGTCTATCGATCGAAGAGCTTGTATCGAATGTTAATCCATCTTGTTTCCTTTTCGATTATGAAGCAAAAGGAAAGAATCCTTCCATACATTAGTGATGTATTGCATCTAAACTATGCCAGTAATTGTGCAAATGAAGCATGCGGGGTCGTTTGGTAAGCATGTAATCTACCCACAGATTCCAAGATTACATGATATCTGTGATTTTACTGTTTTTCTTGTTTTATTTTGGGACAGATATCATGATATTGGTGCACCATGTAATTCTAGAATTCATGTGACCATGATATCTCAAATGTTTTGGGTTTACCCAAAGTATTTGAGATTTCATGCCAAATTATGTGGGTTCTACCATGAACTCATGCAAGCCAAACAATGCATTCTAATATTACACAAGTTCTCACAACTCAACCTACAATATACATGAATTCTTCAAATACATGAATTCTACATTACGTGCTTACCAAACGACCCCGCAAGCAAAAGAAATCACCACCTCTACATTAGTGATGTGGGACACATAGTACAACCTTGGTAATACTAAACCCTGTGACAATTGACACAACTAGATAAACAACACAATCCAAAACCCCATGATGATGTGTCCCATCTTGCATCCCCCTCTATATAAACCATCTCCTTTCCCCCTTCTCAAAACCACATTCCAACATTAAAACGAGTTCCCTAAACAAAACAAAAAAAAAACTTACTCCGTTCCTATCACATCCAACCTTCCAAAACCCACTTCCTCCAAACCAAAGAAAGAAACTACCAACAATGTACCAAACAGAGTCATGGGGATCGCCCTACGTGCCAGCATCGGGGAGAAACGGAGTCGGGTCTTACGCCGGCGGTGGGGACCCTTTCGAGCGGATAGAGCAGCTGGCGGCGGAGAGCGCGGTGGTGATATTCAGCATCAGCAGCTGCTGCATGTGCCACGCCATAAAGCGCCTCTTCTGCGGGATGGGCGTCAACCCGACAGTCTACGAGCTGGACCAGGCGGGCGACCCGATTGCAGGGAAGGAGATGGAGATGGCGCTGATGAGGCTGATCGGAGCCTCCTCCGCCGCCGCCCTCCCAGTCGTGTTCGTCGGCGGGAAGCTCGTTGGGGCTATGGACAGGGTCATGGCTTCCCATATTAACGGCACCCTCGTCCCTCTCCTCAAAGACGCTGGCGCACTCTGGCTCTGAAAACCAAAAACAGAGCCTCGCTTTCTCTAAGTAGAGTTTCTTTCTTATTTCTCTGTTTTCTGGTATTTGAAAGAAAAACAAGAGAACCCAGGAACAAAAATTCGATCTTTTTTGTTGTTGTTATTTTGTCCATGTTTTAGTGCTAATGTTTAGGAAAGTTCCTCCATTTTTGGGGTTTGGGAAGGATCCAAATTAAGTGTTGCTTAAGGACTCTGTTTCTTCAGTTGTTGCTTAGGGATGGAGGCCTTTGTGTTTAAATTTCCAAGTGTTTTCTGTTTTTTCTTTTAGTGTTTTTTTTTTTGAAAGAATTTTTTCTTTTAGTGATTTGTGAGAAATGTGAAGAAAGAAATTTATTTGCTTCCTCTGCTCCCCCCCCCCCCCCCCCCCTCTCCCTGTCCCACTCTCTTCTCAAATAGTGTTTTTTCCGCCAGACTTCCATTACTATTACCCATCCAATGCACAAACTGCATCGTCAATACAATGTTGTTTCAGTTCTCAACATGATGTTTAAGTTTGATGGTTGTCATTTTGTACCACTTTTCCACGTAGGTAGAGGTAGGTATGGCAATGGGGCAGGTCCGGGGCGGGTTTCTTGGTACCCAGACTCGCCTGTGGCAGGGCGGGTCCAGGTCGGGTAATTGATCACGGGTCGCGGGTCGGGGCAGGTCGACCCAATGGGTATGTAATTTATTTGAAAAACATTAGAAATATTCGTTATTTTTATTATAAAACTAAGAAAATAAACAATATTATGACAATTGTAGTTAAAATTATTGGAGAAATTGAGGTTTTCACTAATTTACAACTTTATTATAGCTAAAATATGATTTCAAAGTAATTTGACTAAGATTTCATGTAATTTAGACAAGAACGGGTCAAGAATGGGGCGGGTCAGGGCAGGTCGGGTCGATGAGACTACTCATGCCCGCCCCGCCCCAAAACAGGTCAAACAGATCGGGTAAAACGGGTCAGGTCGAAATTGCCATCCCTAGGTAGAGGCTACAGCATGGATTTTTAAACATAGAGGTTGATATGTGTGCAATTTGGTTATGGATTAAGCTACCCATCCAATGCACCAACGCCTTGTTAAGCATCCAGGTGGAACTGGAGGGAGAGAAATAAATATAATGGACCCTTGTGGTGGATTTTAGGATGTGTAGGAGGGGCCCTCTGGATAATGGGGCCTGAGGCCCATGTTTTCGGCCTAACTATTTGCACCATCAGTTTCAGTGCGATTGGATCAATCTTGTAGGCCATACATCAACTGTAGCCCTCCAGTGTTTGACGGCTCATTCTTCCTTTCTAAATTTATCAAATCAAAATGCCAGTATTAGCATGATACCACCATTGATAATAGTGAATAAACACTCACCATGGATCACACGAAACGGTAAATAGTTGGTCATAAATTGAGCTTAATTTTCATCAGTGAACATCGCAAAATCGAACTCTTTATCTCATAATTTAAGTAGATCAATCAGCTTGCTATACCTTCATAGTTCAAGGTTGGAATAAGTTAAAAGGCCTGATAAACAAAGGATTAGTTGAACCCAAGAGAGCAGAGACCATGTCGACTAATAGGTTACCTGGGCCAGGAAAGCTCCGCCCATAAAAAGCCCGGTACGGCCCAATTGAGACATGCCATATTAGTGCTGGTATCTGGTCCCGCTAGCTGCTAGCTACAAGATAATTTTTTTTTCAAATAAGGTTCAATAACTTTGACCAACAATAATTACCAGGAAAAAATATCTTTGACCAACAATGGAAATTTTATAACTAATTGTCTAAAAGACGATTGCACGTTTCTTTGGAAGCTTTACAAAAATTCAGAATAAAATGATGCGAAAATTCTATGATTTTTTCCACTATATTTCATAATCAATTGAATTATAGAACAACTTCCTATACCAATTTTTTTTTTTTTTGACAAAAGATAATCCATTAGATCAAAAATCGATAGTTACATCCTGGGAGACAGCCAGGTCTGAAAATCAAAGAAACGGCAAATAGCCGGGTACAAAGACAGGGCTTTCCTAGCCACCAAATGGGCTACCCTATTGTTACTCCGACTTATAAACCGTACAGAAAAACCAGAATGGACAGCTAAAAGATTTATAACTTCTTGAAGAATCACTCCCATTTGGCTATCATTCGCATCCGCCCTATTAAGTTTATCAATAATGACCTTGGCGTCGCCTTCAAACCGCACCTCCGTAAATCCCAAATTCAAGCACCACCTAATGGCCTCACGCAGTACCAACAACTCAACAATTGGAGGACTATCAATATGAGGGATCTGAAATCCAGCAGCCAAGAACACACTACCATTAGCATCGACCAGCACCATCCCTCCCGCCGAATGAGAACCAGCTCGCGTCGCCCCATCCCATCTACACGAGGATCGCCCACTGGAATCCGGCGACTGCGGACCCGGCAGAGGAGCCAAGAACGACTGTGAACGATCGACAGGCAGGCTAACCCATTCCTCATACTGTTGATTAAGCTGTCGCATCAAGGACGGGATCCCAAACTGCTTGCCCTCAAAGACTACCCAGTTTCTAGACCGCCAAATCCTCCAAAGGACAGCCACAACTTTCATAAACATGGGGGCCCGGTGCACTAAAGACATCAATTTCTTGAGGAAAAAAGGAAACGTCTGCCGAGGTAAACCTTGGCCAAGATATTCCAAACCCGATAAATCCCAAAGCGCACGCGCCACTGGACAATCCAGAAACAAATGTTCCATGGTCTCAGATTCCGCCCAGCAGACCGGACACCGAGGGAGAACCTCCACCCCTTTCTCCCGAAGAGCTTCAGTGGTCGGGAGGACTCTGTTAAAGATTTGCCAGCAGAAGACCTTCAACTTAGGGGGGAGATTAGCCTCCCACAGGCGGATCCAGCTAGGTTTATCCATCCAGCTTGCCAACTGGCGCCAACGCCCGTTACTTCTCTCAATATACCAAATTATTTTTAAAAATATATAATTCTAGAAATTTGACTAGTTCAAATATGACCTCTACTAACTATACCAAAGTTTGATTTCTGCTCTTATGACAAGGACATTCTCTCATAGGGAGGAATGTCGTTAATGTAGGATAAAGTAGATACTTCAATACTCATATTCGCGTCATGTTAGTTGTATGTCTCGTGAAAAATAAAAGACAAAAAAATAAAATTAATGACAATCTTGAAGATGATCAAGATTCAAGGGTAAGGTTTTATAAATAAGGTACATGAAGAACTATATTTTTTTTTTGTGAGAAAAAGGAGTGCTACGGGCACCACAACCGTTAACTAACAACCATACGGGGCGTTTCCACCCCAATCAAATCAAAAAACCAGTAATTTAACCTTGGGTCCGGCTCTTCAAGTAAATGGAATCCCTGCTGGAGTTTGTGACATGTCGAGGCCAAGCAGAGAAGAACTATATTTTAAGGTAACTCTCATTTTTTCTTTAATATTAATTAGTATCTTATATGCCACATAATTAAAATAATTTTTGACTCTTGATTGATTTTTCAAGTTTAGATAGACATAATTTGATAATCAACCTAAAATAGTGACGTGATTCATTAATATCAAACAAAACTCATGTCATATAATTTACTCACTTACCATTAAAAAAATCTTGAATGTCGAGCAAACTCACGAATTAATTCTCGTTATTATTTAAAACAAAATGCTCTTCTCATTTTGGGTCAAACTAAAAAAATTGCTAAAATTCAGGAAACCGAATAAAATGATTTACGCATTAATAATTTCTAGTTATTATTCACTTTAATCACTGACAAGATTCTCCACTTCTTCTTCTTCTTCCCTAGTATCCCGTATCACTTTTCGTCCGCTCTTTCTCTCTCTTGAAATTGTGCTCTCCAGGAGGGAATTTTCTCTCTCTTTCTTCTGTTTATCCCTTTCCTCTCCAAAGGGTTTTGATCAAATTCCTCATACTGATAAAGTGTAATCGTCAAGATTCCTCCTGCTGAAGATCGGGGTAAACCAATTTAGGGTTTTTCCCATCCCATCCAAATTCGCCGGGCGGGAAAGAAAACTGGCAGCCAATCGCCGCAAGTTCGGATTTTATTTGTCAGGTAATGCATCTTTCCGATTATTCGTTTTCAGCAAGTTTCAGTCTTTATTGCTTTTCTATTCTGAGCTAGAAATGGAGGTAGAGCTTGAACTGACGGCCCTCTGTTGACTTTTTCCTTAATTGGTTATGAGTTTAGGGAGAGATAGAGAGGGAAGGGAGAGAACGACAAGTCTTGGAATCGGGCAGTGATCGGATTGATTGGGGGGGAAAGAGAGATTCAGCGGCTTTGGAGATACGCGAGACGAAGAAGAGCAAATGCCGGAGGAAGATTTTGTGGAGCTCAAGTTCAGGTTGTACGATGGAACCGATATTGGTCCATTTAGGTATTCGCCGGCTTCTACGGTTGCTGTTCTGAAGGAAAGAATCGTCGCTGAGTGGCCAAAAGGTATGAAAGTTTGTTCAGCTTTTCGTTGAAAATTGTAGCTTGGGGGAGTTGATTTGTAGGTTTGGTTGGGAATTGAGATTTATGGGTTTGCGGGAAATGAATGTAGCCACTCAATACCTGATTGAAGTCATCAAATTGTTCATTGTTTGAGGTCTAGTTGAAGCTTGTTAAGTTTATATGAGGGGTCGCCTGTTGAACTGGCTTAGCATCTTTTTTCCCAGCTCTGCTGCCTGGTTTGCTCTGTGCTTTCCTCGGTCTTGCATTTCTCTCATGCTGCAATTCTGAACGGGTACTTTGTGAACGTTAATGGCCTCGTTGGTGTAGGTAATTACTCCTGGCTCTTGGCTTGGTTTGAGAAAATGTCTATAGCTGTATTGGGTAATGGTGTTGAGGGGATGCAGCATACCAACCTTGTCTATCTGTATACTTGTGATCTTGAGGATTTGTGCTCATCACTTGCTGCATGTTCAGAAGTTAGTTGTTTATCTGGTTGTGTTGCACGATATTGGATAGATCATCTGTTCTTTGGTGATTCCAACTGCTCCAAGGATTGCATTTGAATCTGCTTACATTTCTTCTGTTGTTTTTTACTTTGGTCTGTCTCTCCATTTCCATGTTGCATAGTAAATTGGAAGGCTCTGTGCAATCATTTTCTTATCTCTCTCACTACAATTGCCTTCTTATTAAAGGGTTGGTGGAGTGAATGCATGATACTGCTCCTTGTAGCTCTACTTTTTTTCCGACCATCCCCTCGACCAGTAATCTGACCATTCACGAACCTTGTTGTTTGTTAGATAAAAAAAATGCACCCAAAGGAGCAAATGACATCAAACTGATAAATGCTGGAAAGATTTTGGAAAACAGCAAGACCGTTGGCCAGTGTAAGGCCCCTTTTGGAGATCTACAGAATGGTGTGATTACCATGCATGTCGTCGTGCAGCCATCTTTGGCCAAAGCAAAGACAGGTAATTTATGTGCAATTACCACTTTACAGCTACTGTGCTAATGCTGCGTAATAACTAGGAATTACCTAAAGGTGTAGTGCATAACAAGAGAAGAAATGATGTTGAATATATGCCCCTGTTAGGTTAGCCTGGCCGCTTAAGTAAGATGTTTGTTGTTACCTTCATTTTCATTTAACTATCCCTTAATTCAATACTTGGATAGGGATGAAGTTCAAAATCTGGTGTTGTTTTCTTCCAATACTCTATTCTTTTCTTGGTTTGACAGAGAAAAAGGTCGACGATGCTCCAAGAAAAAATCTATGTTCGTGTACCATATTGTGAGAAGGCGCTTTGGGTTTGTTGATTTGTTCAACTTAGGGAGGAGGGGAAGGAGCTTTTATACCGGCGGTGGTGTTGGTCCTGTTCAAAATCTGAGGATCGTGATGGATATGAGTTGTAAGAATGCTGTATACATCCTCTCACTGCCAAAACATGTCTCTTTGTGTGTCAGGGGCTGGGGTTGAGTTCAGTCCTGCCCTTTTGATTGTATGTTGTGATAAAAAAAAATGTATTCCTACATTTTGATTGAAAATTTGTGTACCTTGTTCCTCAACACTACTGCTAAATGATATATATAAATCTTGCCCTTTTCTTTCATGCGGTCTCTTCATCCAACTCTCATGTAAAGTGTTCTGATAACTTGCTCTTTGTTTGTTCAAGCCTGATTCTATAGTTTTGTCCACTACAAGTATTGTTAGTAAAAACAGTGCAAGATAAGAAGGCTGGCTATCTTTATGCTTGAATACAAAGGGTGAGAAGGAAATGTATCTTCTTGCAGCAAGTATATGAATGGATGAATGGTAAAAATTGGGTTAGTGACCCTTGTAGTAGTTTATTAACAAAAAATGGAGTTCTTGTAATATTTTAGTATTTGTAGAGTACATTCTCGATAACTCACCTGCTTCCTAAATTCCATATCTAGATTACACATTTTCTTATCAATTCATCGAATTCATATTTGCTATTACCTGTTATGTTGCTATTGCTGTTTAAGAATGATGGGGGTTGAAATGAGATTATACAATGAGTTATTATGAAATGCGCATCATTTATAATGTACTTATTTGTCATGGATCGATCTAATGAAATAGACAAAAAGTTTTAATTTTAGAAAACAAGTATGTGTTTAATCAACAATATATGGCCAGAAAATGTCACCAACCCAACAGAATAGCCTAATAGGAATGCATCATTTCCACCATTGAATGATTATGAAGCAAAAAAAAGGACATATAGAATCTTTCAACCATCAACATAAAGATCTTCGCGAAACAGGAGGATTATATTCTATTCATGGATGAATTAACTATCTATAGACTATAGTATAGCCCTAATAATAATAATTAATCAAAACACCAAAATATCTGAAAATTACATTAACACAAAAAATCATCTATAGTAATTAAATAGCAAAAAATGGTAATTGGATCAAATTTCTAATGGGTTCCTTCCTTTGTCTTTGCCCTTCCTTTTACTCCAACATTGTTTTTTTCCCCTTCTTTTCTCCATCGATGATTCTCAAGACAAGCGATGAAACCAAGTAACCAAACTATAATAATCAAAATAATACAAAACAAATCCATATTGAACTCTATAGAAATATCGAACAGAGACACGCCACATAGACGTGCGAAACATTAGGAGAAGAAAAAGGAGAAAAGGTTACCCACAAGAATTTTTCCATCATCACGATCATCACCATTGATCACTAGCTGTCCAAATCACTTTCATTGATCACCAATCATGATCATGACCATTCATCATCATCATCAACCATTGCATCAGCATCTCCATGCAGAGGCAGCAAGAATGGCTCTGTCCTGCCACCCTAGGAGCAAGCAACCTTTATCCTCAGTCAGCCTATACCCATCGCACGAATACAATCCCAAGAGTATCTTCGACTGGGTCACAGCATTCGAACTCAGGGGCACACCTTTGAACCCTTTCCCTTCCATGAGCTTCCTCCACTTCTCGAGCCTCTCATGCCTCTCGGTCCTCTCGACTCCCTCGCAGGCCACGATGTTCCTGATCTCGGGGGCGAAGATGTACTGTTCCACTTTGGCTCTCTGGGCCGAGTCTGGAGGGAACGTGGCATCCAAGGAATCAAAGATCGCAGAGTAGTAGTGCAATGCCTCAAGAAACCTCCCCAGGAAGTAAGGTCCGTTGTGGCTGGCTTCCTGCTCGACTAGAGTTACAATGTTGGGTGCCTGGTCCCTGATCATGGCCAGGAGCGGGCCAATGGACTTTCCCGGGACCCTGTGGAGCCTGTTGACCGAGTTCACGGCTAGAGCCTCACCGACCCTGCGGTTGAACATATGAGGTCTGAGGTCCTCCAACTCCTCAGCGACTGCGTGATACTCGAAGGGCACGTGGAGGGAGTGGGCCAGCTCGGTTAGGCACCGTCCAGTCTCACGAACACACTCAGGAGAAGACCCCACGCCTGTGATCCGAAGGAAAGGAGCCCCACCTGGTCGGGCTGCCAGTGCTTGCATAAATGCAGGCCACTGGTAGCCCTGTAGGATATCAAGGTCGATCACGTGGACACGTTCCTCGGACTCAAAGGCCTCGAAGATGGCCTGGTTGGCGGTGAAGTGGGCGAACTTGATGTAAGGGCAGGCCTGGTAGAGGATTTGGTAGATCTTGAGGATCTCCATGGAGCTTGATGTGAATGGAGTGAATGGTCTTGGAGTGGAAGTGTTTGGCTTGGTTGCAAGTGTGGCAGCGAGCCTGGCGCTCAATGCTTCGGTGAAGCAAGCAGCGACTCGTTGCATCGAGTCGCCAAGAGGAGTGACGACTCTATTCAGGTGGTGAAGGTATTTCCTTGCTAGCATGTAGTCCTCTTTGGCGACTGCTTCTGCGCAGGCCAGCAGAAGGTGTACTAATTGTAGGCCACTGTCTGATTGCTCCTGAATAACAAAGATCAGTCATATTAACTGGTGTCACATATGATCATAACTATTCATCCTAGAAATTCACAACAAATACCCGTCGACCAGGTTAAACAAGAGGTGTTTCGATCGTCAGAGATGGTTTGATATCATCTTAATCGAATACAAAATAAAAGTCGGAAGGATATGTTCATAAACAGTGTATATATCATTTTATGTGAAACGAATAGGCCAAATTCAAGACAAAACGTAGTTTCACTTTTATTGACATGCCATAATATCCATCTTCTCTGTGCAAGTATCTTTCATTTCAAAGAATCGAAATGAAGAGTATCAATTCATAGTAGTGGCACTTTCAAAGCTGAATCTGATCTTACTTTATCGTGAGAAAAAGACCAAAGTCAATTAATAAGCATGCAAAATGATATCGATTCTCTATCCGCAAGTCTTTTTCATCCTAAATAGTTTCTTCATGTCAAGGTAAGGTATAGGACAAGAAGATCGGGTGAAGATGAAAGCTGTTTGTTAACAACATACGATCATAAAAAACTGGATCTTATGGTTGAACAATCAATCAAGCACAGATTCATCTCACTAATACGAGTTCTTATCAAACGTCTCAACACTAAAATCCTGCCATGCAAAGCTACTTTCACTTGTAGTAAGATATAGTGACATGTGATAATGTCTAACATCTCTCTATTCTAAGTCTCTTTCAACCCAAATCTCTTAATGTCAAGGAAACAAAGAACAGGACAAGAAGAGGGAGGTGAAACAAAAGAAAAGGGGGGGGGGGGGGGGGGGGGGGGGGGGGTAGAACAGTACCTGCTCGGAACCAATAGGCAGAGGCGCCATCAACCCATGTTCTATTGCTCCACCACCACTACCAGTTGTCCTCTGTGCAGGTTCTGCTGTGGCCGGCCTCGTCTGCAAAACAACTTGTTTCTCGTGATCCCTCTCTTCCTGCAACCGATCAGAAAGAGTCCCCATAGGAAACATCTCCCTCTCTTGCACCACCATCTGATCATGATCATGATTATGATCGTGACTACCCCCTCCACTTCCACCGCTCTCACTAAACCTCGAAGGGTTCGACATCGTCAAACAACTATCCATCAACGACGAAACAGGTATTGAAAGATCAAACAGCTGATGCGATGGGGTCGAGCTCATCTTATTATCCTCCAAGAAATCCTCGATCCCACCGGGCAACGACGAGAGGTTCTCCAGCTGCATATAGTTGTTACCAGGAGAGTTGAACATCCTGTGAAGAGGGCTCTGCCCTTTCCCTTTCAAACTCGAGCTAAAGCTTCCCAGTTGGGACGAGAGATGCCGTGGCGGAGAACATCCAGCCACAGTACTCTGCCCTTGTTGCATTGCCTGCACGTAGCTGCTGTAGCTGAAACTTGACGGCGAAGGAAACAGGTTGCTGGTGGTACGGACGGGGGAAGAGATCATGAAGTCGCCTTCGACGACATGATCGGAGAAAAAGCTCTCCCAAATGGAACTGTCTGGGGACTGGACTTCAATATCTCCATCGCCCACCACCTCGAACTTCACTGCAGGAAAATTGAGACTTGGTGGAGTTAGTTGAAGTTGTTCCATGTCTGAAGAAGACATTGTTGTTTTCTTGGACTCGCAAACAGAGGATTCATTTGGGGAAGTTGGTTGCTGTTGTTGATGCTGCATCTTGGTGGAGCATGAGCTGCTCTCAGTACTCTTGAGAGAACCCACACTTCCACACACAGAATTTATCATATTTTCTTCTTCTTCTTCTACCTTTCTTTTGTTTGTTTGTTTCCCTCTTGGAAAAGGTCAAGTCTTTTGTATAAGGGAAGAAGGATTAAAGAAATGGGTTGTATAATTTTCTTCTATTACAGCTGAAAATGGCCAAAAGTTTTACTACTACTCGAAGCTACTCCTAGTTATAGTAGTTGGAAATATTGGAAATATAAACCCTCTAAATAGAAAACATGCTAAATAAACTTATTAATTAATAGATTTTCGATATCAAATTAACTATGGGATTACTACTACACACAACAAACCACTAAGTGAACACAAAACACCCCACTATTTTGGATTTTCACTCTATCTGTTCTAATTATCCTGGTCTTCGATACTGGATTAATTACAATGTTCTTGAGATCTCAAATTCAAGTTTGATTAATAATTTAGATAACGGAACCTTTACACCCTCATTGTGGAGAAGAAGAAAAAAACCTGCTAGATGGATTTTTTTATTACTTTTTTCTTTTTCATTCCCATCATTTTCATTTCAAAGCATATTGCCTTGCTTGTGAAGAGGAAAAGTGAATAGAGACAGAAATGCAAGCTATGGACATAATTGAATAAATAAACCTTTCAAGGATAAGTACAAAAAGACTGAAGTAAAACAAGAATTCTTTTGTAACCATTTGAATTCCATTATTTCGAATATTATTCTGATTAGGTTTAGATTTAAGGGAGATGACACCATGAAACATCACAAAACGATTTAAAGAGGGGGAATAGTAAAAGGTTTAATAATATAAATCAATATCCTCCAGTTTGTCACCTTGGTAACAAGGTTGATCAACTGGTTTTGCTGGTTACTAGGGATTCATTTTGTCTTATATTTTGCTTAATCTATTCTTTTCTCTCTGTGAGATGACTAAATGACAACCTGGAGAGGACCCTCTACTGTGCCTGGGCCGGCCTAGCTGAATTAACATCTCCAGAAATGGTCATTTTTCATTGGCAGTTAAAAGTTTGGGGGAATAAACTGGACAAAGACAGCATAGTTGGTGAAAATGACCTTATTTTTACATACACTAAAAATAATATGACTATGACATTTATCATTCTTAGAGCTTACTGTCTAATCATGGTTAACTTAATATTAGCGCTCATCAACCCCACAAATCTAGTGGATAATGTCAAGAAATTCTATCTTTTCTTTCATAACGTCAAACTCTATATGAGCACCAGATAATTTGAGTTATAGCACAGAATACAAGCATAACATCTTTATCGACCATGAATGACTGTCACACTTGGCCAGAAAAAGCATGTAATAGAGAAAAGATAAGGATTTATGACCGTATTAACATAAGCTACCAATGAGAGAGTGAATGAATGGTGAAACAGCCAACTTTCGATCCTGAAGGTTTCGAGCCTGAATACCAGGTCTGCTAATCAATGTTCCATCAACTTTATTCAATCATGGAAGAGGTAGCGCCCCTTCGAAGTGTACCAGCAAAGTCCTCTACTCTTAAGTTAGCTTATCAGACAAGAATGCTTAGTAAAACATCTATACTATACTAGTTCGAAAAACTAGTATGAGTTGATGGGTTGCAAATCGGGAGACCTTCAAGTACGAAAGAAAAGCCACACGAAGATAATTGTGTCATTCACAAGAGTGTGGATAGCCCTCTCCCCTTGAGCTAGCTTTCGGATAAAAAAACTTCACTTGCACCCAACAGTTAATTCATGGGAAAGAAAAAGGATTCAAGTTTTATAAGTTAAACGGCAAGATTAATTAGTAGACTATAAAAGACAAGAGGAGCCATTTCTTTCACTATAAAAAAAATGGAGGGGAAACAGCATACATAGGCGAGGCCGTCGGATGTGGCGTCGGAGTCGCCGCCCGTGCCCTTGGATTTGACAAAGGGAACCAAGTGGCTTATGCTTGTCCTGGCCAGCACTCAGGCGGCAGTGTGTTCCTTTGTCCGACTCTCTTATTGCAGTAAAATTATTAGAAAAACATATGATTCAATTATTTCAGTGAAAAGCATATTTTTATTTACCCTCCTTAATTCCAACTCTCACTCAACTTAAACTCCACAGACAAAAGGAAATCTCCAACAAGTCGTTCTATTTTGTCCAAAACCAAAATGTTACTTTGTTTCCCACCCTCTCTTACGCCTCGGCAGGTGGCACCCTGTCAACCAATCCCAGGTATCCAATCTTTAACCTATTTAGAATGACTCTTTCATCAACCAAAATATATCAGGTAGACAAACAATTTGTTTTCTAATCTTTTTGTTTTAAAAAATGAAATGAACCAAAAATCGAAAAAGATAATAATGAGAACAATACATGCTATTAACTATATAACAGTCATTTATTAACATTAGTTCAAAAATTTGACATGAACAATCCTTGCAAGAAATAAAGAAGAATATCGACCGTTATATTTTTATTGTGAAAGAACATGTAATAGAATGATATCGAATTCATTTTTAGACCTTTTCAACTCAAAAACATACAATTCAATGCATTCATTCAATCTAATTCAACAAAAGCTAAAAACAAATGGTAACATGAGACAAACATAGTCGGTTTGCTTAACAGAAAATCTTTTGCCATCAAATTAGGAGTATATTAAAGCTAAGAGTTTGACTTTTCATAAACAGGGGAGTATGCATTATATAAAAAATTCTTCAAAGTTTTGTTTAATATAATCTGTACTGCATAGCTTTGGGATTATGTGATAGATACATAATTATCAGACAAACAGTAAGCTTCTTACAAACATGAAGTTATTGCTAATCAGCCAGCCAACCAGCCGTGGCTCCAATACAAAGTTCCAAATTTGAGATCAAAACTTTGGAAGTAGTCTAGATATAGGTCCAAAATCCAAAGGGTAGTACATGCCCTAACTTTTGGGCCAACACTGTGGTGGACCAGTCAAATGAATCCTCTCCTCACCTTACCTAATATAGCTCCTACCTTTTAGATTTTGACCTAATCTTCCTGTCAATTTTCAGGCATGGAGATCGGAATGGAAAGTGATGGTTGATTTCCTTATTATATTATAGGCAGGGCCTATTAAGGTGTTTTCTGATCCTAAAGACCACAGGCTTGCTATGGGGCTGATATGAGCTGATGAGAATGGGAATTGGGCTGTTAGCATTGAGCTTTGGCCCATTGAGAAAGGACAGATGAAATTGCTATAAAAGCCATGGGAACAAAAAATCAGAATGTTTGTTCAGACAGGCTGTGATGAATCATATGGCAGGCAGAGGCTTGCAACTACCAAGAGTAGTGTGGCTTGTACCAACAACAGAACAAAGACCAGAGTAGGGTGCATCTTTGAAAACCATAGTGAGCAAAACAGGATGAAAACTAAACTAAACGGGGCCTAATACTTTAACTATAATGCTGAAATCAAGCTAGCAATACTTGATTTCTACTAATACGTAGTTGCACCAGTACATCAAGCTGGTGCAATAAGATATCACAAACTAATTTTGTACCGAACAAAATCCTATCTTAGACAGATAAGGCACAAGATAAAGCAACTATGGAGCAGTAAAGCCTTTTCATGACAGAAACAAACAAAACAAACAACGCGCCAATAGCTCCTCAACCTACTATGTATAAATAAGGCCACCCAAAATGGGTTATGGCTCTCTTATCAGAAGTTGAAAGTGAAATGACACAATGCACTAGCAGCTACCATTCAGCATTCATCAAAGCCATCTCTTCTCCCTCCTTCCTTTCCTTTCCTTTCCATTCCTACCTCACCCTCACTTTGCTTTTATGACATCAACCATTAATGCTCAGTTCACAGAGCCTGGCTACAGAAATGAGGCAAATGAAGGAAGAGGAGCAGGTAAAGAGAGAGGGAGAGAGTGAGGACGGTAAGCAGTTACTAGTTAGTACATTTAGCTCTTCTTTCTCTTGAAGGTGCACTGTTTACTTTGGTTTCTACAAGTGGGGGAGACATTCCCACTTTTAACTGCCCATGTGATCCATGGCTCTTTTGCTTGCGATTGCATAATGTCTTTAAAAAAGGCTCATATGAACTGCATGAATAGGATACAAATGAAGCCTCCCTATCTACTATGTAGTCTCTACTCTCTTATCCCCCCTCTCATAGTTATTGCTAACAACTACACCGACCAACCCACCCATGGCAGCAAGCATGTGTGTCATAAATTTCCATGGATAAGTGGCTTGATGAACCAGACACTAATCACATAGCCCTTAAGCTCTACTTCCACACCCTTAACCACATGTTTCATTTTCCCTGCTGTGAGTCTATAAATTGCCATTGGCTTTTCCTCCCCCTAAGCAATAAAGAAAGAGCCTTCTACTCAAGCCCAACGGACCACTGAAAGCTACTCCCTCTCCCTACCGCTACACATCCTCCCTCCATATAGGCCAAATGATATTCACATGACCTTGTTTCTAGTGAGGGGAAGAAAAAGAAGAATTAAAATTCATTTTCTCCTACTTGTCGCTCAAAGCTGGAATTCACCAACTATTCTCTGCTGTTGTTCCGTTTCATTATCCACAGAACCTGAAGAAGAGCTCATCTTCTAGTAGTACATGATAATGCTCTGAAAATTCTTTGCCACTAAAATCCAAAGCGCTCACAAAGGTTGAAGAAGCCTTAGTGTGGGGAGAAGTCTATATTTCCTACTTGCTCTCATCTTGCCATGAATCATCCGGTTATTATTGTTTTGTTCGTCTCTTCTTTGTTCACTATATCACTGTCCCGAAAGGTTGAGCTCCCCACTAGAAATGCACAAATCAGAGTTATTGGGTTTGTTTATTGTGATATCTGCTCTAATAACAGCTTTTCCAGACACAGCTACTTCATGCCAGGTAAGACATTTTTCTTCTTGCTTATGAGCTAGTGCGTGGATATTCATTGAGGCAATGTTTTCATGGAGGTTTTAGTTGTCTTCTTATGTGAAGTTTTTTTGTGAAACCAGATGCAGAAGTTAGAATAGACTGCAAGTTCAAAGCAAGTGCACCGAAAACAAGGGAGCAAATAGCATTCTCAGTAAACAGGACAACAAACAGGTACGGAATGTACAAATTAGAAATACCAGCTGTTGATGGGATCGAGTGTGCAGAGTCGGCCATTGCATCTTCCTGCGAGGCAAGCTTGATGCGGACTTCATCCAAATCGTGCAATGTTCCTGGATACAAAACCACATCAGATGAGATAGCAATCAAAGCCAGGAATCCCAATCTCTGCATCTACAGCCTCAATGCATTGAATTTCAGACCGTCGAAAAGCGAGAACTCTCTGTGTGGGCATTAGTGAAAGATCAAAAGGCTTAGAGAAGTTTGTTCTGGGACACAACAAAGTTTTCCTATAAATGGATTGACTTCTCCGTTAATTTTCATAGTTGCCCTCTACCATTTTGTCAGTCTTGCAATCTGCCCTTCTGTTAACCCAGCGGAATCTATTCTTCAAACCCACGACCCAGATTCACCAAATTTATACTCAATTATCATTTGGGTTTCTGTGTTTCTCTTGGTTGATACTATTATGTCGGAACACTGTGTAAATGCAAATGCAGATATGTCAGTATGGACAAGCTTTTTCATCATTAAGCTTCTGTAGCCAATTAGATATACGGTCTTGTGGCTAACCACCAAGTAGTTACCCAAACGGAAGGTGCTAGTTAAAGGCACGAACGTACTTAAGGTTCTAGAATGGGCGGCACATCAAAATTAAGGTGCAAAACATCCCGCATAGAAAGTGGGGAGAATAAGAGGAATAAGAATTACCCCGGAGACTGTTTGATTCCAAGCTAGAGCTATCAGCTTCAGTGTCAGCCTTCATAAGTAAATGCATGCCAGCCTGAAACCAGTGAAGGGTCCTTCCTTCACACTGGTTCTTCTTCACAGATAAACAAACTAACACAGTAGCAGTTACTGGTCTAGCCTTGCTCTGGATTTGGTCTCCTCAGCTAAACAATCCAAGTTTCTCCAAACTTTAAACTGCCACCACCGTCATTTTGTTTCCTTCGAAGCGATAGCCATGCAGAAAACAAGGAGAGGAAATTAGTCACGATACCACCAAATATTGGATCTCTATAACAACTGTATAATCGACGTCCCTGCCTTCCCCTCCATCGTAACTCGTTCATATTCCTCGCCTTGTCATATTCTGTTTCATGTCAGCGGACTAATTCCTCTTTTCCCATCTTGCTCCAATTATGTTAGATTACAGTTTCTGTTGTCCATTCAGCAGGTTGCAACAATTTAACAGGGGAAAAACGACAGATTTAAGTGTGTCGCGTTTGCCACCAGCTTCCTAAGAAGAGGACAGGCAGCCCACAATGCAGGCAGAATGGACAACAAAAGGGTATTTTCAACAAGAAACAAAGATTAGAAGCTGCAAAATTTAACTTTATGAAGGAACTGAAACAGGGCAGTCAAAGGAAACCTTTCACCAGTTATACATTAAAGCCATCATGCTTCCTAAATAATACCCATTTTCGGCATGAGAAGAAGTAATGTATTGGCAGACAAACATGCAGACGTTCTTCACCATGTAATTCTACTCCTTTTCCGCGTTCGCCACTCTAAACAATGCAAGATCATATCAGGAAGGAAACAAGAAGATATCTAAGGGAACCAGTGGATCCCATTTCTGTGATCCTTGTTTGTTTCTTTCCCATTTGATTTCATCCAGGGATCTACTGTAGTTATAAGTAAAAGGACAAAACTTTGATTTGCCTGACTGATACTGATCCTAAACTGGATACCCCCATCTGTCTTCCAGATCATACCACCATGCAAGCACTTCAACATAAGCTGGAGCTCAAACGCAAACTTAACTCACCAGAGACTATAAATGGAGTTGAAGAGGAAAGCAGCAAAGCCAAGCCCAACTTGCTGAGACACAGAGCTCTTTGATTATCTCACATCTATATGTGGCTTTTCCATGTGAATATTGAAATCAATCTTGAATTTAAAGTCGTCGTCTCGGCATTACCTCTAGATCAATCTCTTAAGATAATTTTAGACCCATATCGTTATTGAATGTCTACCAAATCACAAGAAAAAGAGTACTTAAATCTAATTAAGCCTGAGGACATAATAATGCTAATGTACAAAGTTTCTGGTCCCTCACTGCCACTTCTCTTCGACTTCCCCCACATATTTCACCTCAGCAATCCATTAACATCTATCTAACATGGAGTGGAAATGACAGAATCCCTTGCCTACCTCATTAATACAAACTACAAACATGTTCTCCTTTTTAGGACCATCCCCACATGAGATATCCTGGCTAGTTAAATCACAGATCTCTCACAGTTTTTAGGTCTAAATAGAAGGTCGATGCAATGAAGCGCTGAAAAACACAGATACCCGAAATCCTAAAATCAACCAGTAGACCTAACATTTCCACCATTAATGCAGGCAACGAAAGACCTGGCCCAAAACACACCACACACAGAACGCTTGTAAACCATTGAGCCACATAATTGTTTGTACCTTCAGTAATCTAAAGAACAGAATTACATCCGTACCTTAGAGCGGGAAAACTCCTCCATTCGCAGACCTTCCGATCGCCGTGCCTGTCCTCAGCTCGCTTCGACTCGCGGCGGTAAGTGGATATTTTATGTCCGATCGTCACCGGCTGGCGACGAAGAAGACTGTCTGGATTGTGATACATCGGCGGCATTGGATTCGTACTTGCAGAAGAAGGAAATCCGTTGCGGAAGAGATTCGCGCTCGCTGGAATTTTCAAGCAATTTTTTGAAATCTGTAGAAGTTCTTGTGGCTCCTGGGAGGACTGCGGAGGGAAGGCGTGGTCACGCGGCAAAGTTGCAAAAAGGTTTCCCGACGGGTTGGGCGGCAAAACTAGTCCAGTAAGGAAGGAAATATGCCCAACAATGTAGTGTTTGGGTTGGGGAATGTTGGTGGGCCTGGTTGGAGATTAATTTAACCAAAAGCCCAAATGTGGTGATGGAATCATGGTAAATTAGTCAATTTTGTTGATCACCTCCTCATTTAATTATAAAAAAATTAGCCGTTTGATATCTAGCTATGTAATTCATAATTTTTTTTTATTTAGCTATGTGAATAAAGCACGTTATGTGATTGGTTAATTATAGATATAAAATGGAGATTACCAAGAATTAAATTTTGACCACCTTGATATTAGTTAATTCGTTAATCTTCTTCAAAGTTTTTCATCCAAAATAATTAATAGTTCAAACAGGTAACATTATAATCATAGTAACATTTAAAAATTCTTTAATAACATTATAATATATTACAAAATATTGTTCCTCAATCATTTGAGTTTTGGTATATATTTTAAATTGTATTTCTAGTGTTATTTTCTTCTAACAAGATATAAAAATAAAGTAAAATTATAAATAGTATATCATCGATGATAAACATTCACCTTCAAATATTAACAGGATTACAACTAATAATCGTATTTGGTTCGAGTGAAGAATGCACATTCTATATATTTTTACCGCTCTTAATATTCAATTCAATTATTTAATAATAAACATTCTCCCGCCACTAAACACCGTACCGTTAAAATCGGCAGTATTGCATCGCCAAGATTAATAAGTGACTCCAATCACACCTCTTTCACCAACTTCTCAAACGTCTTCATCGCCGACGCCGGCAGCCCGAGAAACACACGCACCCCCTTCTTCCTTCCTTCCTCTTCCCCATCCGCCAGAAACAGAACCGCTTCCTTCCCCGGAAGCCCCACCGGCGCGGAGAAAAGCGGCCCGCCCCATCCGAAATCCGCCGTGTCGAATGCCAGCCTCGACCACGTCGTGATCACCAGAGTCGCCGCCATGGAAGGCCTGGCCCTCGTAACCTCAAAGTAATCGATCGCCGACCTCATGTAACCGTCGTCCACCATCCTTACCGACTCTCCAACAAGCCCCGCCGCGCGCGACAACGGCTGATTAACCAGTTCCCCTGCCTCGCAGATCGAATTCGTGAACACGATTCCGTTCCCGAAGTACCCGGTGGGCAGAGGAGGGACGAACTTGGCTCGACCGTCGACGGCGAAGATGAGCTTGGTGGGTTGATTGGGCGGGAAGTTCAGGGATTGGGTTCGCGCCCTCCACACGAACCCGGAAAGCGCTTCGAATGTGGAGCGTTTCTTCTCCGCCAGTGGGTCCACGTCGCCGCCTCCCGCCGCCGATTTGGATTTGAGGGTTTCCAGTTGTTCGAAGGTCAATGGGAAGGACTTGTAGACCATGGGATCTTCTTCTTCTTTTGGGTCTTCGAATTTGAGTTCTACATCGAGCAATTCGCCATGGACGTGGTCGATTTGGGCAGGGTTGCGCGACTTGAGGATGGTTCTGTCGAGGAACGGCGGGATTGAGAGCGGGAGGCCTCTGGCGATCTCTCCCCATGAGTTCACGAACTCCATTGCTGCGATTCCGTCGAATAGGCAATGGTTTATAGCCAGACCAAGCACGAATCCACCACATTTGAATTTGGTCACCTGATAGAGCAAGTGTTAGAATCCCTTTGTATATCAATTCAAATATTTTGAAATCAAATCATACTGTTTCTTACTTGATATGTTTTCTTGTCGTTTATTCACAATCGATCATTAATAATAGATGTTAAAATTTTATACGTAAAATGTGTACGATTCTTTTTAATGATTAGAATTCGTATGTGAAAAAATGAATGGAGACAAGCTTTGAGGCTATAGATGTTATTCAATATTCCATAGGCTCACAAAAATGGTGGACCTGTTGTGTTTTTTGGCAAACCTAAGCACAATCAAAACCCTACACCCTAATAATTCTTAAGTCGAAACCTATTAGTCTCCTACTAGTTCTCATAATTAAGGACTCCTAATGTGTCCATATGTATTTCCACCAATAATCAAAAGATTGAATAGTAAAAAACGAAATTAATTATTCATAATACAATCATATACATTTTGTGTGACGATATAATGATAAATTTGTACCTGTCAATCAAACCGAAAACACGAAGAACACAAGACACGGATTAACGTGGTTTCCCTAACGATTGTCGTTAGGACTAGTCCACGGAGAACGGCGGCCGATCTTATTCTCGTAATCGTTAACCTTCTGTACAGCCATGCACCCAATATATATATAGCTATACTAACCCTAACCCGGCAAACTACATTTTGGTACTTGGACAATTACATATAGATACATATACTTCAACACCCTCCCTCAAATTAATGTAGCTGTCGCAACATTAATTTGTGTGCGAGAAACCAATGTCGAGCAGATGCAACAGCCTTGGTCAACAGATCGGCAGTCTGATCCTCAGAAGTTATGTAAGCGAGTACCACTTCACCCTCTGCAACCAGTTGACGAATATAATGAACGTGAACCTCGATATGCTTTGTCCTGTCATGAAGTACCGGGTTAGTCGCAATACGAATAGCACTCGTATTATCCACATGTAAGCGAATAGGTGGTCGAACAACCACTCCAAGCTCGGCTAAAAGCCGTTTCAGCCACACTATCTCAGAAGCAACTTCACTCATCGACCTATACTCAGCTTCAGTCGATGACTTCGATACCCTGTCCTGCTTCTTACAACGCCATGATATAAATGACTGTCCCAGCCTAACACACCATCCTGAGGTAGATCGTCTAGTATCCAAACAGCCCGCATAGTCTGCATCAGCATAGGCCTCCATCACTTCCTCACCTGCCGCAGGAAACACAAGACCCACATCTTGAGTGCCCTTTAAATACCGCAGAATCCTCTGAACTGCCGCCCAATGAGGAGACCGAGGTGAATTCATGAACTGGCTCACCACCTGTACTGCATACGAAATATCCGGACGCGTATGGGTAAGATATATCAAGCTACCCACTATACTGCGATACAATGAGGCATTAGAAATCAAGTCACCATCCCCAGAACGCATCTTAAGATTTTGCTCCATAGGAGTACCACAGGGCACACACTCATCCATCTGTGCTTCCTCAAGCAGATCAATAATGTATTTGCGTTGGCAAACATGAAGACCAACTGCTGACCGATGAATCTCTAATCCCAGAAAATAAGATAAGTCACCTAATTCCTTGAGATTAAAAGCAGAATGTAGCACCCGTTTGAGCTCCTGTATACCAAGCTGATCATTCCCTGTTACTATCATATCATCAACATAAATTAAAAGCACTGTAAGACCACGACTGGTATTGCGAAGAAAGAGAGAAGGATCATTGTTACTCTGGACAAAGCCTGCATCGAGAATGGTGTCCTGGAACTTTTCAAACCATGCTCGAGGTGCTTGTTTCAACCCGTACAGAGACCTCTTAAGCCGACACACCATAGAGCTGTCACCACGAGTATAACCTGGTGGTCTCTCCATATATATGACCTCCTTAAGATCACCGTGAAGAAAGGCATTCTTCACATCTAACTGAAGGAGATCCCAACCCTTCATAGCTGCTACTGCCAGCAAACTCCGTACTGTCTGCATTTTAGCTACAGGAGCAAACGTTTCTGCATAATCCACCCCATACTCTTGACAAAAGCCTTGAGCAACTACACGCGCACGGAACCTCTCAACACTCCCATCTGGTAACATTTTGACTGTATACACCCACTTACTACCGATGACAGAGTATTCAGGACGTCGTGGTACCAAGTCCCAAGTCTCGGCAGCATCAAGAGCGTCCTTCTCCACATCCATAGCCTTCTCCCAATGCTCGATCCCCCGAGCCTGCTTGTAAGTGGCTGGCACCACAATCGATGGAGTGGAAAAGGCAACAAACTCGGAATGATGGGGTGGGGGAACACCTTTATTCACCCTGGTAGACCGACGAACTGGGGGAGGACTTTCAGGAGGATTGGCTTGTAAGCCAGCCATGTCTTGAGTAGATTCGGAAGAGGATGAAGATGATGAAGATGTCCCAGAGTCTGACGTAGCACCTGCGGATAGAGAGATCGACGAGGAAGAAGACCCTGTAGAGAAAGTGGAAGAATCCGAGGACCCAGGAGAAGTGAAATAATGACTTGGACTATTCTCATGACTTGGACTATTCTCCAAGGTGCCAAGCTCATCACCCTCCTCCACTGGTGCGGAGCTAGAAGTGGAATAATTAAATGGACGTAAGAATTCCAAGTCCATGCATGAGGAGACGTCGGAAGTTGTGGACCCATAATACGGCATATTCTCAAGAAAAACTACGTGACATGAAATCCGGACACGTCGCGCAGTAGGATCATAGCACACGTATCCTTTATGCTTCTCGCTATATCCAAGGAAAACACACCGAACAGCCTTCGGTGTGAGTTTTGTGCGCTCCCGTTGAGCAAGAAGTACATAGCAGGAGCACCCAAATACACGGAGCCAACCATAGTTAGGGAGACGCGAATACAAAACCTGATATGGACTGCGTTGGCTGAGAACTGACGTAATTTGTCGATTGATCAAATAGACGACCGTATGAACAGCTTCCACCCAAAACATCTTTGGAACCTGTGAGTGAAATAAAATGGCACGTGTAAGTTCCAAAACATGCCTATTCTTACGCTCCACTAGGCCATTTTGCTGCGAAACTCCAGGACAAGATTGCTGAACAAGAATACCCCGCTCTCGCAGCATCGCCTGTAACGGATTCGAAGTAAACTCACCCCCAGGATCAGAACGCAAAATCTTAATGATTTTTCCAAACTGCGTAGACACCATCTGAATGAACTCCTGAGCACAAGAAAACAATTCGGACTTCTGGCGAAGAAAGAAAACCCAGGTAAAGCGCGTAGCATGATCGATGAACAGGGCGAAGTATCGGAAACCAAGGCGGGAAGTAACTGGAGAGGGACCCCATAAATCAGTGTGAATTAACTCAAATGGCTCGGAATACACTGTCTCACTGGACGTAAACGAACGCTGAGACAGTTTAGCTTGCAAGCAATGAACACATTCATGATCCTGTTCAGATAAACCACTACCAGATAACCATTTATTCTGAAACATAGTACGAAGGCGCACTGAATGTGGATGTCCCAATCTAAAATGCCAGAGATCCCAATTCGATAATTTGACCGAAAAACCAGAAAAAACATCTTGTCTACTACAACTAGACAAATCACTCTCACAATTATCCTTATCCTTCAAGTTCGCCACCTGGGAAGAATTTCTTAAAGAAATATTTCCTACTAGCCGATCCTGAACGTGCCCGCCACCATCTTGCACAGCCAAGTGATCGAGCATGTAGGTGCGCCCTTTCTTACTTCCCCTCCCGAGCTCCTTCCCCGTCCTCGTGTCCTGCACAGAGCACCCATCCGCATCAAATATGACGCGACAACCATCATCAGCTAACTGACCAACAGAGACAAGGCTGGGCACAAGTTGAGGAACATATAACGTATTGGGGAGTGATATACTGGGCTGCACAACATGACCTACACCCTTAACCTCCATTCTATTACCATCGGCAGCTTGTAATGCAATACCAAGTGCTGACTTATCAAGAGTACGAAAGACACTAGTTGAGCTAGTCATGTGATTGTAAGCTGCTGAATCAACATGCCACGACGGAGAACACGAAGAAGTCTTACCCGTAGCAAAGGCTGAAGTTAAGGCCGATGGAAGAACATCCTTCAAGGCATCTTGGACCAGGCGACGGACATCCTCAGGAGTCAATGAAACCCCCGAAGAACTTCGGGCAGTAGAACCCACATCCACAGTCGCGTACGCACCACCGACAGCTGAACGAGACGGTCCAGGACGCGAGCCGCCAGACCTCGACCTGCTCCGCTGGGCTAGCGTCGGACACGCAGCAATGAGATGTCCCTCCAGCTTGCAATAATTGCAAGTGTTGCGCTTCGGACAATGAAATTGAATATGTCCCGGAGCCTTGCAATGATAACAAATGACCTCCCCTTTAGTTGTCCGATGGAATTGGGGTTTACCTCCAACAGCAAACGCAAGACCAGGCCCATTGGAGTGGATATCAATCTTTGCTTGGCTTTTGAGCCTTGTTTCCTCACGGAGAAGTTCGGAGAGCACATCCTCCACAGTTGAGACCTCACGATGGAGAAGAGAGGCCCTTATACCTTCAAATTCAGGCCGTAACTTCATGAGAAAACGCATCACACGGGTGCTTGCGCGTTCACTAAGAGCATCGGGAGTGGGCGGTGCGGACGACAAAGAGGCCAAAATCAGGTCCTGCTCCGTCCATAAAGTGACGGCTTCCTGGTAATAAGAGCTGATCGAAAGCTCTCCTTGCTGCAGCTGGGCCAAATCATGCTCGACATCAAATTTGCGCGAAGCATTAGCCTTAGAATAGAGTTTCGCCAAGTGCCCCCACATCTCCGAAGCCGTAGAAAAGCCACGAAGGCTCAGCGCTATACCAGGTTCAAGAGAACTCAGCAACAGGGACATTACCGAGGCATTATTCACAGCCCAATCATCTCGATCCTTTTGCGAAGCTGTCTCCGCTGGAACCCTAGCTGTACCATCCAGAATAGGAAGCAGGCGCTTCCCTTGAACATGAAGGCGGAATTGAAATTCCCAGAGAGCGAAATTCTTACCATTAAACCGAGGAAGAAGAGCATCATTCTTGGAGTTGTCCATGATATCTAAACCAACCGAAAATCACAAGAGCAATAGAAACCACACAAAGGCGTTGAGCTAGCAACCTTGAAGCCACACGAAAACGGCGCACCAGCAACCCTAAGCAGCACGCAAGGACAACACACGAAGGCCACACAGAGACGGGAAACACGACCAAATCACGAGAAGTAATGGAGAGGCTCTGATACCATGTCAATCAAACCGAAAACACGAAGAACACAAGACACGGATTAACGTGGTTTCCCTAACGATTGTCGTTAGGACTAGTCCACGGAGAACGGCGGCCGATCTTATTCTCGTAATCGTTAACCTTCTGTACAGCCATGCACCCAATATATATATAGCTATACTAACCCTAACCCGGCAAACTACATTTTGGTACTTGGACAATTACATATAGATACATATACTTCAACAGTACCGACGTTGATATGCATTCTAAAGGAGCATACAATCCCAACCGACTATGGTACCAACTAACTTCAAAATTTCAAAAACTACAACCAAACTAAAAGAAAAATTCCCCTGTTTTCAGAAACCACACAAGCAGAAAACCAAGAAGAGTGACAAAGAAATAAGGGGAAAACATGACCTGAGCAACAAGAGGAGGCATTTTCAGGACATTGCCAGCGGCGCCAGGAACTTCGTAGACCAGCTTGCCAAGATTTTGGAGATCAGGGTTACTTCTAACGTCACCAATCTCTTCCATTCCACACTCTGCTTCAGCTTCCACGAACAGAGCACCTTCGCCATTGCAGTCGACGACGAGCTTCCCTTCCGGTCCAATCGCCAGCCTCCCGGCGAGCGGGTAGTAATGAACGAGAACCCTCGCCAGAGATTTCCGTATCACTTCCACAGGGTCGTCTTGGTTCGCCTTCGCCGCCGGTTTGTAGCAGTAAATGGTTCGGACGATCACGGCAACGTTCTGGTCGAGGTTGGACAAGAAGTAGAGCCCTTTTTTCGTCTCCTCCGCCGGCGTGACCAGAATCGGGTCGGTTTGGTGGACGGTGAGCTTGGAAACGGCGCCATTTGGAGTGTCCATTGGAATAGGGAAATGATGGTTTGGAAGGGAGGGGGAAATGGAAATCAGGGTTTGTTTCTTTAAGGTGGGAAGGAAACAGAGCAAAGCAGAGCATGTGAGAGTAATAAATTAAAGCTTTTCCGACTGAAGATATTGGTGGGATTGGTTGAACGTATAGGCAACAGAGTACCATAAATTGAAAGAAGCTAGTAACTGACTGGGTTCCTTTTTTCCAACATTTTTTTCTTTTTTGAGAGGTGTGGTTGATGAATGAAACAGTGTAGAGAGGTGACTACCATTAGCCATTTCGATTTCACATGTGTAATCTACCTCTTGTCTTCTACCGTTCTATGGAGGTAATCCGAACTTAGTAATAATGTAATGTTGGTTATCGTGTGATTCTTTATCCCTATTGTTTTGTAAAATAACATGAATATTAAGATATCGGTAAAAATTATCTATTCTTATACCAAAGAGAGAGCATTAAATATATGCAATGGCCCTACACTTTGATAAATGTTGTAAGAAGTTGTTATATATAGTATATAGTAGTACATTTGAGTTGATAAATGTCGTGAGAAGTTGTTATATAGAGGACATTACTAAGAAGTGATTGAGGAGTGATGGAGATAGACTTGAGTACGTGACAAATAGGGAGTGATTATGTTTACACAGAGCTGTTGTTTCTTTTTAACATACATTGAACACATGTTTCTCATATATTTGAGTTCAACTTACAAATTACAATTTAGGTTTTCATGTTTTAGAGGTCTATTTATTTTTGTTTAATTGTTGCTTCTATAGGATAGTGTCTAATTGTCGCTAGCTTTGAACCCTACCAATTGATTAGAAGGAAGAAAATTATCTCGTTAAGATAATTTGGTGGTACACTCTAATTGAATGACCGAAAACTAAATGAAAATCAACTTCCCTTTCAATTTAGATCGTTATATCTACAAAGAAAACAAATACTACAAGAAGAAGAAAAAAAAGTTACAGAAAATTTGATTGGTTGTAGAAGGTGCTGAGGTTAATGCATAGGAAGTGAGTAAATTTAAAATGATGATGTGTAACTTGGGAAAATTGTTTATGATATATTATAGATTTGAACTTTTAAAGTGATGATTTGATTTGCAATCAATGTGGTATGAAATAATGATTATGATGATAAGACTTGATTAATTCTGCTAGTTTTGTGTTTCTCGAATTTACATTAGGTTTGTTTGACTCCTTATCAATGTATAGTTCATAATGATCGTTACGAATCACAGTTGACAGTGACTTAATAAATTATGACTAGTGACATGTAATTGTAATTACCTAATTCAACCTATGAATGATTTTCTAGCTGGGTTGAGCTAGAATACCCCTTAAAATATTTTTCATATTTGAACAATAAGATGACTTTACATCAATATAGCACTTTCGTGTCATTGCATTTTTCAGTAAAAAATAATGTAATCTTCTCATTGAATTTTTTTTTCAATGGGAGACCACATGTGTCCTACTAGTTTTGGGGTATGACATTGAATGGCACTTTTTTGGCTTCATTTCTTCATCTATGCTTAGTCTATGTCATGATGGGGTGAACGTGGGTGGCGATTCAACAAGCTTTGCCATTCCATTCTAGGATGGCTTTTCCGACGGTTTCCCTCCCTACGGCAACCTTCTATTCTCATTTGCCTAATTAGTAATTCCCCTCCAATTAGGGATGACAATTTCGACCTGACCCGTTTTACCCGATCTGTTTGACCTATTTTGAGGCGGGTCGTAGGCGGGGCGGAGCGGAGCAGGCATGGGTAGTCTCATCGACCCGACCTGCCCTGACCCGCCCCATTCTCGACCCGTTCTTATCTAAATTACATGTAATCTTAGTTAAATTACTTAGAATTTTCCTTTTATTGCATAATATTTTAGTTATAATAAAGTTGTAAATTAGTAAAAACCTCAATTTCTCCAATAATTTAACTACAATTGTCATAATATTGTTTGTTTTCTTAGTCTTATAATAAAAATAACGAATATTTCCAATGTTTTCATATATATTGCATATCCATTGGGTCGACCTGCCCCGACCCACAACCCATGATCAATTACCCGACCTGGACCCGACCTGCCACGGGACGGGTCTAGGTACCAAGAAACCCGCCCCGAACATGCCCCATTGCCATTCCTACCTCCAATTGCTTTGCCTAATTGAAAAGGTTAATTTCTATGTCTCATTGGCTAGCACCTCAAAGGGTTGGAGTTTGCGAGGGGGAAATCAAGGTTGTCAACCAGCGGGTTGACCCGCGGGTCGACTCACTTTGACCCTGACCCGGTGAGAAAAACGGGTCGCACGCACCCACCGGGCCGACCGCTACAAGGTACTGGGTTGGAGGTGAAATTGTGTCATTTTTTTCATTGGTTTGCGAAATGCGCCTATTTTCCGATTTTTCTTTTCGCCTAGCTCAATTTTTGGAATGCTAAGTTGAACATTTGAATATTTATGTTATATAAGTGTGTGTGAATTTTCACTATATGTTGGATCTATATACGATATGTTATTTTGGTGTAATATTATATGTTATAACTCATATGTTAGATAAAATTTGATATAATTTATGAGGATAAGTACAATATAATGAATTTTTCCATATTTCCGGGCCAAACCGGCCTAAAACGGTTGACCCATTAACCCTTGACCCACTAGCTCGACCGGTCCGGGTCGACCCGCGGGTTGACAACCTTGGGGGAAAACATATTCTTATTTGGAGGGGGAAAAACAAAATTACGAGGAAACCATGTTATCAACTCAAAAGCCCACATACACAAACCTTCCATTTTTTAGTCGGGCTTTCTATTGATCTCAATGGGCCCTAAAATTGTTTTAGTCAGGCTTTTTATTCATAAAACTAGGATGCCCAGGGTTTATAATGGCCCTAACACTTATTTTAGCCAATAGATGTTTTTTTGTTGAAATATGGAATTAAAATAATTACATAATATTGGATTTAAGATTTTTGTCGACCAACGTAATTTAGAAAACTATTAGGATTCACACGAGCATTGTAACTAACTTACGTGTATTTTACACGAGTAAAAAGAAAGTTTAATAGTCATGTCACGTATGCAAGAATGCAAAATAAATATAAAATTTATTATTGAGAACAGACATAAATAGACTTTTTGTATGATATTATATTTGTTTGTTTCCGTACACATAAGTAAGTAGCTAGCTCTTGTCTATCCATACTCTTTTACTTTGTTACTCAAACTCTTAGTATCCCGGAATCGAAATATTAGTTTCTTAACCAAACCAAACCACACTTTTGATACGATATTATGTTACACACTCCAAAGGGTTACAACACGCTCAAGAAGGAAGCTTAGTTCCATAAACTTGACTTAATTAGTGTACTTAAGTGGATCGATGAGAGATCCAAACTCGGAGTCCATGTTTCATATTGAGCATAGTGGACATAGCTACAGAAACAGGATGACCATCCACCACCCAAATCTTGTACCTCCAGAGTATGGCAGCCGCCACAATCTTCAGTTGAATCAAGCTCACTTCTTTACCAAGGCAACTCCTTGGCCCCCCATTAAACGTCGCAAATCGATGAGATGGCACAAGTTGGATTTCTCCTTTCTCCGTTATCCACCTCTCTGGTTTGAACTCGTTGCAATCTGGACCCCACACGTCTACGAAGAACCAATCATTCTCAATAACTCGAACTCGCGAGAGAAACTGGGAAATTTGAAAATGCATCTCTCGGCAGTAATGTTCACTATGTTATTACCTTCCATCCTTGCCATTGCATATGCCGAGAAGAAGACCCTCGTTTTTGGTCTCACGTGGTGGCCACTCGGCAGCAGGTCTGCCTCCATCGCCCACTTGTGGTTGATTGGCAATGGTGGGTATAACCTCAATGTCTCCATAATGGCTGCGTGCAAATAAGTGAGACAGTTCACTTCTTCTTCGTTATAAAGACGGTGCTGCCGGTTAACCCTAAGTGGGTCATGTCCTAGTAGGGTAGTCATCCCTGTACCAAAGGACACAAAACATACAAGTATTTTATGGCCTATATATCATGATGATCATTAAAAAGATAATTATCAACTTCCACAAGTTGATCAAATAAGGATGATTAATTAAGACGTTTTCATCACCATGGATCTTTTCTAATGTTGGTGGGTTGGAGTTAAGCTCAGCAAGGATCTTGCTCTCAACGTGTGGATTGTTGGTCAGGCTCCAAAAGAGCCAAACGAGTGTCGAGGCTATTGTGCTTCTTCCTGCTCCCAACAAATTAAGGACCATGTCACGTAGGAACTTGTCTTCTGTCAACACCAAAACACCATCATTCTTGTCCATTATCTCTCCCTTGATGTGAGCCGTCAGTAGGTCATCATCAACAGTTTCTTCTACTTCATCGTCCATTCTCTTGGCAATGATCTGTTTCCGCCTTGACGAGATGAAGCTGTAAAGGAAATCGTCGAACCTCTGCATGGCTATGGACAACTGTTTCTCTGTTCCCATTCGTAACCATTTTTGGAGCTTCCAAGCTATCTTGGGGATGACATGTCGTCGGAAAATTCCTTTCCCTATATCATCGAAAGCTTTTGCCAGTGGAGCGTCATGGAAATCAATGTTTAGGGAACGTGGATCCAACCCCATCACTATGATACAAATGGCATCGAATGTGAATCTCTGAAATATGTCTTGTAGGTCAGATTCATCTCCATTTTCAGCTAAGTGGTCGAGAATTTGGAACATCCCGTATTCCAATTTGGCATGCGTGGCCTTCTCCATTAACAACTTGTACCTAATAATTGTCTCAAATTACAAAGTTTGAGTTCTAAGAATAATAAAAGTATATATAGTACTTTAAAGGTAATGGATTGAACATCTCAATTAAAATGAACTCGTCTCACCAGGGACGGAGCTATAGCAGGCTTCGGGGCCCCAGTCCCCCGAAAATCTCGAAAGTCACGTGTAAATAGTCGGGAATATTACGTATAAACTAAAAATATTATATCAATATTGGGACGTGGAATAGAAAAGCACAAGATTTGTTTGGCGCAGCTGAAGATTGCTTCTAAGTTGGTCTTTAGGTTGCTGGTTCTATTCCCCGCGGAAGCTGTTTTTTGCTTTCCTTTATATTTTTCGTTTAACTAAACAAGCAAGTACTTGTTAATTCTTCATTTCAGTTATTATTTTCACTTAACATCGATTAAGTAATTAATTCCAATTTCAATTGAGCACTTTATTTCAAGATAGACAATTAAGTCCTTCAAATTTTAAAGCACTTTGAGATACATGATGAATATTTGCATATTTTACTTTCATTTGTTCATTTGACTAAACAAATGAAGTTAATCATTTAAATTTCATATTTTGGTTTGTTAATTTTTTAATTTAAAATTAGTTCAATTAAATAGTTCCATTTTAATCATACTTTCGTATATAAACGAATAATTTTAAATTTATTGTAAATCTAATGTGAAATTTTTTGTGCCATTATAATAAAATAAAATAAGCATCTTCAAATATTTTTATTATTAGTAATTTTTTAGCCTTTTACGACAACACATTAAGAAAACTCAGGCCCCCGAATGCTAAATCCTGCCTCCGCCCCTGCGTCTCACTACAACAAAAATACCCCTTAGTAACCAACAAGAGCAGTCACTAAATATCAGACTTTGGTCACAAACAGTATTTAGTGACAAAATATGCTTTGTCCCGCCTTGGTCATTTTGTCCCGCGAAAAAACAACAGTTTTTCATTTGGTCACAAAATATGATGACTTTGCGACGAAAACGTTTGGAATGTCATCACTAAGAAAATCAGTAGACAAACAAAGGCCATCGCATCTGATAACAACCTGCTAATTAAGTGCTTAACCATAAAAAGAAAAAAAAGAAACGGCTAAGTGCTACCTGTTGTTTTTGATGAGTAGGTGAAGTTTCTTACGCTGCAAAACCCACGACTCGAAGTCGACGGTAAAGATCCCGTCGCCAAAGGGCTCGAACACCTCCTTCATGACGGGGCCCTTGGGATAGTTCCCAAAGTTGCCGCTCTGTATGTGACGAACGTTGGCCGGGTCGCTGGTGACGATGCTGTCCATGCCGGAGAACCACGGCCCTTTCAACTCTACCGTGCCGCCGTGTCGTCTTAGGGTCGCCGTCAAGTACCGATCGTGGAAATCCGACGCGTGGCAAATGAGTGATGGCAGCATCCCTACTACCGGCCAGTTCGTGCAGCCATGTGGCGCCGCCCATGTCCTGTTGCGGCGGCTCCGGTATATTTGCCAGAGGATTAGGAAGCTTGCAGCAGCTACTATTATGTTTATGCATGTCGACATCATCATCTGCTCCATTTTTGGGGAAGTTTAATTTGGACTTTTATTTTAGGGGAGGAGGAGTTCTTTTGGTTGTGATAGATGTGTAGGCATATGCATGCCCCCTATTTATAACCTGATCAGCATTAAAATAAACCACGAGTTTCAAACGGGTGTACTTTTCACGTAGTAAAAGTACTGAAACTCATTGTAAGTTTGTAGCCTACAATATCAATATAACAATATACATTTTAGTTTTTGACAGGAATAGTCATAACAACGCTGTATTTCCGGTCATTAATTCCCAGTAGTTTCTCATTGATGATCCAACTAATTTCTAACAACCAAATTTACTTGGGTGGTTAGATGAACTTTAAGGCCAAAGCGCTCGAAATCATTTTGTCTCTGTATGGTTCGATGGTGATCATCAAAACCCATGTGAGAAATAATCATTGCTATATTGACTCCTCATATACATGCTATGGATGACCCTAATTAAGGTTGCCCTTAGAATGAATTAATGAGTTTGTGTTTACGGGTGATGCGTTTGAGATCAAAGGGTACGAAGTTAGACAATTCAACAACCAACCAACCAACCATCCAACTCGTTGTCTCTAAAAGTAATGTGAGTGAAATGCCCATTTGGCTTGAACCCTAACAAACCTAATTAAGCTAATCTCGTAATTGACTCATCAGTTGCATAATAACTATATCAAATCTGAGTTCTAAGTTATAACCAACACTTTATATAATGGTCTATGAATCGACGTTCTAACCTAGAATGAATCAGATGTCATGTACAAATTGTAGTTTAGATATATGAGTACGTAACATGCATCGTGGTGTTGGCGTATGTTCTAACCTATATATACTAACATCGACAAAATCTGTTATAATATTCAAAAGACAGATAAATTCATGAATCATATCTAGGTGTAAGAGAAACATACAATCCATCGCAAGAAAGATGGAAAGAAATCAACCAGACAATCCACCCATATGTTTGACCCGGCTTTTAGAAGTGTTTTTCAGCTTCAAAAGCTGAAGCAAGGCCAAACACCTCTAAAAGCTCGGCTTTTGAAAAGCCGAAAAGTGTTTTTGTATAACTTAAAAGCAGAAACTCCGATTTGGAGCTTCTGGCAAAAGTTGGTTTGAAAATACAAGATTATCCTTACCATATTTTAATTTTATTTCAGAAAATATATTTTCCCTTCATTTATATCATTTTAAAAATAAAATAAATTATAAAATTATATTATTTAATACAAAAGAAATCTAACAAGATCCATTTTAACTACTTTTTATTGTTTATAATTTTTATTCATATTTTATATTATAAGTGTCATTTTACATAATCTCTCATATTAAAAAGCACTTTTAATAATTTTACAGACAAACACTCAACTGTTTTTTTTTTTTAAAGTACTTATCTAAAATACGAGTAGAAGGGTACATTCAAAGACAAAGGAATACCGGTGAAATTAACACGAGAGGTAGTAATAACCAAACCAAACAACTCTTTTACTGCAATATAATAGTACACTTAGTGATAACCAACCAAGAAGTTGGCGCAAGCTAGCTAGGGTTTCCTGAACCCCCGGCCCAAAACATATAGTCAAGTCGATCGCCGAGAGACGCTAACTCGGAGTTCGTTTTCCATTTGGAGCACTGTCGACATGGTATAAGAAACACGATGACCTTCCACCACTTGGAACTTATACCTCCACAGGATGGCAGCCACCACCATCTTCAACTGAATCAAGCTCACTTCCTTGCCCAGACAACTCCTTGGCCCTCCGCTAAATGTGGTGAATTGATGTGACGGCACGTACCGAATCCCTCCTCTTTCAGTTATCCACCTCTCCGGCTTAAATTCTCTGCAATCTTCACCCCATATACCTGCATATCATGTCCAAAATCAATTCAGTTTGATTATCATATATAGCTCACCAATTGTTTTTCCTACGTAATCGAATAATAAACAAAATATCGTCGTATATGTCATACCTTTCATTCTACCCATGGCATACATCGAGACGAAAATCCTCGTCTTTGCTCTCACACGATGGCCACTGGGCAACACGTCTGTCTCCCTTGCCCACTTGTGGTTCATTGGCGTGGGCGTGTACAGCCTCAAGGTCTCCGCAACCGTTGCATGCAAATAAACCAAGCGGTTTACTTCTTCCTCACGGTAAAGGCGGCTCTGTCGACGTCGACATGACGAGTGGTCGGAATGATGTGCCGCCGGTGGATTGGCGGCGAGCTCGGCTAGGACCTTGCTCTCGACACGTGGATTGTTGGCCATGCTCCAGAAGAACCAAACCAGGGCAACAGCTATTGTGCTTCTACCCGCCGCCAACAGATTAATGACCATGTCACGCAACAACTTGTCGTCCTTGAATGTGGAATATTCGACGACGTCCTCCTTTCTCGTCTCTCCCTCGATGTGAGCCGTGAGTAGGTCGACTGATTCTTCTTTGTCCATCCTTGTCTGTTGTCTAACGATTTTTTCCCGTCTGGAGGAGATGAAATCATAGAGAAACTTGTCGAATCTTTCGGTGGCTACCGCCAACCGCTTCTCCGCTCCGAGGCCAAGCAACCTCTGGAGCTTCCACATCGTCTCGGGGACGACGTGTCGTTCGAACATGCCTTTATCTATATCGTCGAAAGCTTTTGCTAGTGGGACATCTTGTAGGTCGATGTTTAGAGAACTCGGATTATATCCCAACACCGTCATGCAAATAACATCGAATGTGAACCTCTGAAACACATCTTGTAGATCTACAATTTTGGACTCATTATCAGCCAGGTGATCGAGAACGGGAAAGATCCCATTCTCCAACTTGTCATGGGCTGCCTTCTCCATTAATAACCTGTACCTGCGACAGGCACTACCATATTAAAGGAATGCTATAAATCAAATTTATTCCTTGGTGGACCTCTTCCAATAATACGCTGCAGCTGGGACCAGCTAGCTAAGTTGTGCTTGTGAGTAAATTCTACGCGACACATATATAATTGAATATTTCGTAATAACTCGAGTTATTGGGATCAATGGTTTCTTAACATGATACCAGAGAGACTTCTGTGATAGAAAAATCTTCTTTCGGTGACACCAACCATTTGTTATGCACATAATGTTCTAATGTCTGTGCAAACTTCAAACACATATGATTGGTTTTCGTTTGAGTGACGTGTTAGTAAATGATATAAGATACATAATTGAACTTCTTACAACTCAAATTATTCATACCAACTGATAGTAGTTATATGTGTCACCTTTTGTTTTTACATGAGTAGCTGGAGCGTCTTCCTCTGGAAAACCCACGACTCGCCGTCCACGGCGAAGATCCCATTGGGGCCGAGCGGCTCGAAGATCTCCTTCATGATGGGACCCTTGGGATAGTTCCTGAAGTTGCCGCTCATTATGTGTCGGATGTTGGCCGGGTCGCTGGTGATGATGCTGTCCATGTCGGAGAACCACGGCCCTTGCATCTCCACCGTGCCGCCGTGTTTGATTAGTCGCTCGGCCAGGTAGTCGTGGAAGTTCACCATTTGGCAGATGAGCGTCGGCAGCATCCCGATCACCGGCCAGTTCGTGCCGAGGGGCGGCGCCGATGCAGGCCTCATGCGGGCGCGTTGCCAATGGACTACTAGGAAGCCGGCTAAGGCCGCTAGAAGAGCAGCAAATGTGTCTTTGTATGTTAAAAGCTTCATTTTTCGTCTTGAATATATGGTCTCTAGTTCTAGATGGTGTGCCTTAATTTATAGCCTACGTGATAGCAAGGATATGCACCGACGTTTGTTAGTAGGAAAGACCATGGGTTGGCCAATGACATCTAATTTCATGATCCATATAGATAAGGGATAGATTCCATATGGATTCATATACATTTTCGATGCTTTTATTAGAGTATGAGTAGTACGAATAGTATTATGTTATACTACGAGTACTGTTATGTAATTGAGTAGTGTTATATTCCTAATCAGAGTCGTAGAAGTTAGGTAATTATCGTATTCTGATTTCTCAGCAGCTTTTAGATTTGGATTGGATTTAATTGGGTCTAATTTGAATCCACTCATTTGTATTAGAATCAAATGAGTCTATTTGATTTCAGATAAGAGTGGTTATCTAATCTAACCACCAAAAACAAAATGTATATGTCCAAAGCGTAAAGACAAGACGTAGTTCTTCATGTAATCAATAAAAGCGATGATGTACTGGCTTTCACATTAGTAACCTATCCAAAAGGCAACGGTGGTGCACACATCGATGTGTGCACAAAAGTGACTTCCTCGACTCATAACCTTCTGGTTGAGTGGGTGGGACGAATCAAAGCCCACTTGGAAGGCATGCATGGCCTATTCCGCCTAACTAATTATTAATTACTTATTAAAAAGTCAAACAAGTGAGTTATTATTCACTAATGGCTTTCACACTCTTCCAAGTACAAATAGCCAACCTCTATGTAGTTTGCTCTCCTTCACTCACATATCCTTCTGAAAGCTCCAAAAATTTGGCAGACTTCCTATTACCTCACTCTCCCATTTCATAACCTTCGCTTCCGTCCAGTAGGTTTGCATTTATTTTCCACTGGGAATTTCAGTGCAGTTATTATCCACTTGGTTGACAACTATTGTCCACTAATTTCCCCAATTGATATTACCCAAATTAAATCTATCTTTCATTTTCTCAAGGGTTAATACCTTATTTTGGCCCGAACTATGACCATATAATCAACTTTGGCCCGTGGTTTCAGAAATTAACATCCTGGCCTCAACTATGCAGCATATAGACTCAATTAGCCCGACACATAGTTTGACCGTCAATTTGGACGGTCAACTCCGTTGACCGTTAGTCAACACGCCATGTCATTGCCTAGTCAGCCTAAAAATCATTAAAAAATGCAAATTTCAAATTATTTTTCTAATTTTTCTTATTTATTATCAAATTAACCAAAAATAAATTATAAAAAACATAAAATAAATTTGATTTTTATTTTTTGGATAATTTAAAAAATGATAAATTTTATAAATTAAATAAAAATTATCAAATTATTTTATATTTTTAAAATTTCCCACAAAAATATAATTTATATCATAATTTTTAAATTTATAAAATTTATTTTGATAATTTTTGGTTAATTTATAAAATTTATCATTTTCAAATATAAAAAAAAATTATTTTATATTTTTAGAATTTTATTTTTTGGTTAATTGGAAAATGATAAATAATAGAAATTAGGAAAATAATTTGAATTTAAATTTTTTTAATCATTTTTAGGCTGACTAGGCAATGACATGGCATGTTGACTAACAGTCAACGGAGTTGACCGTCCAAATTGACGGTCAAACTATGTGTCAGGCCAATTGAGTCTATATGCTGCATAGTTGAGGCCAGGATGTTAATTTCTGAAACCACTGGCCAAAGTTGATTATATGGTCATAGTTCAGGCCAAAATAAGGTATTAACCCTTTTCTCAAATATCTTCTTCCTCTTTCTTCAACCCTTCGCCTCAGAACGCCTTCTAATTAAATCGCAGAGTTTTCTACGCTCAAGATTGATATTGAGGTGGACGTGTTGTTCTTAATTACATCGCCTAAGAGAAATCTTAGCAGTTGCTAGTAGGTATAGAGTTGGGCGATATGATTTACGTACTAACGTAGTTGGTCACTTTAATTATGAGAAAGTCGATTCATAATTTGAAATATGTACATGTTCAAATATCATGTGGTTAATATAGAGGTCATCGAGATTCAAACAATAAATCCTATCAATTAGCAAAAGGTTTATTATCATGCCAAAAATGAGCTGATACTAATGATTCAAATTGTTGGAAGAGACGGTATCTATGAATCATATACCCACATTCCTATAAAAGAATGATAGGATTGCACTCCATCAATGGAAATGTTCTCCTTATTATTTGAAGTTTATTTTCGTTATTGCTACCTTCTATCTTACAATAGCAATTTACAAAGGCTCGAAATAATTTTTACCACATTCTATGACCCTACTTACCTACTTATAACCAAAGAGTGTACATATTTTATATCACCACCGGACCAAACTGTCTATACGAAATTTTGATATATAGTAAGGCGATGAGGACAAGGCATTCAATCGTCTTGGAGAAAAATTTGTCCTTCTTCCTTGACTTGGCCCATTTTGTTAGTGAAATCTTTGCATCTAGAGACTAGAGCCCACGTCGCAACTTGCATCGAGTTTTAGAACCGAACACAAACAGTTATTGGTCATGGCGATGAAGTGATGAACCTCCAGCTCTTCCTCAGTATTATTCATAGTGTCCAGCCACGCACGCCAAGTACTTGATGATGGAGCCGGTGATCATATCAAAGGTGGCAATTGAGATCAAAATCCATGAATCCAATCCAATCTATCCAGGGTTAATTGCAAGGATGGTCACTGGGTTTACTAAAAACGTTCATGTTTGGTCACTCCAAATATTTAATTCTTCCATTCATGGTCACTAAGATTAGTTCAATAGTTCAAGTTTGGTCACTCTCCGTTAGTCTCCGTTAGTTTTTGCTGATGTGGCAGTCAACTATTATAGTTGACTGTTAAATGAGTGACGTGGCCATTAAAAAATTATTAAAATAATAAAATTTAAATATTTACAATTTCCACCTCATTTTACAACTATTAAAACATAAAAATAAAACTTAATAGATGGCCTCCGCCATCTACGACCACCGCGATTCTGATCCCTCCTCCTTCTAATTGTGCTGGGGTATTAGTGAACTGGGTTCTTGTCCTCTTAATCGATTATGCCAATTCTGAATTTTTCTTCTTCTTATTGTTTGCTTTAGGTTACCCGAAAGATGCTTATACACCACCGTGATACCCTGTTCAGGGCAGCCATGGACAGAAATTCCCTTCCCAAATTCAGCGTAGCGAGAAACAGCCTGGACAGAGCCTCTTTCTTAGCTCCACCATCGCCTGATTCCCAGTTGTTCCACTAACCGACTCCACCGCGTTGTTAAACCCACCGACGACGGCGACGACGGATTCCTTGAAATGGCATCATCAATTGCAGTACAATTTCCATCAGCAGCGACAGGAGGAGGGTTCCTTCGGCAGCAATTACATGGGCTGCGTTTTGAACGGGTTTCACGGTGGCGGCGGCGAGGATGGTGGGTTAGGGAAGTGGTGGAGATGAGCCGGAGCCCTTCTTCTTCCGTTAAATTGAAACCCGACCCGGGTTTCTGCTGGCCCAATTTGATTCCGATTGGGAATCATGTGAAAAGTTCGCCAACGGGAACCGAGTCGTCCTCGCCGCCAGCGATGGAGACGCCGACTACGGTGGAGATAATATCCACCTCAGGGTTATCCTCCCCAACAACAATATGCACAGCAACAATATGCCCAGCAACCACCCAGTCAATTTCCCTTCCTCCCTTTTACTTTCTCCTTCCGATTACTCACCTGCCGGATATTCGAAGGAGCAGGGATCAAAATTCGGTGGCGTAGATGGCGGAGACCATTTGTTAAGTTTTATTTTTATTTTTTAATAGTTGTAGAATGAGGTGAAAATTATAAATATTTAAATTTTATTATTTAAATATTTTTTAATAGCCACGTCACTCATTTAACGGTCAACTATAATAGTTGACTGCCACATCAGCAAAAACTAACGAAGACCAACGGAGAGTGACCAAACTTGAACTATTGAACTAATCTTAGTGACCATGAATGAAATTAAATATTTGCAGTGACCAAACATGAACGTTTTTAGTAAATTCAGTGACCATCCATGCAATTAACCCAATCTATCCACTAAATTATTCACCTAATTCAATCCATTCGATCCAAATATAATTTGGTGGATGGATTGGATTCATGGGTATGGATCTCAATTGCCACCTTTGATCTAATCACCGATTGGTGGATTTATCCATAAATTCAAATAGCAAATTATGGTTTGGTACTTATATTTTTTATCTTTTACCTTTTGGTACCTAAAATTTTGTATTATGACATTTTTAAAATTTACATTTTGGTCCAAGACGTGGATGTTATTTGATGAATCAATCCACCAATCCAATTCATTAATTCATGAATTTCATCCAATTACCACCTCTAAAGCAGAGCGTGCCAAAAGACGGTTGCTAATTAATGGATGAACCAACAAGCCAAGTTGATGCACTCTCGTTTGCGTATTATTTTCTTGGAGATTTCGACTACTTCCTTCTCATGCACAATCCAATAGGTATTTAAGACACATGAGTTACTATTTCAAATGTTATCTCATACGTACGTTAATTGTTGGTATATGCAATATAATTATGGATTTAATTTGATATATAAGTTATGTTGTATCTATGAAGAAATTGTCTCTCGACTAGCTAGGTAATTTAATTTTACTCCAAGGTAAATTTTATATAGATATTTAGCGATTGATGAAGGGTAGATTTTCGACAGAAAACCATTCTTCAATTATTAAACCAACTCATTCTTAACATCATAATAGTGGATGCTTAACAAATGTAATATAATTGTTGACTAAGAACATATATAACATCTCAAATTAATACATTATATTATGTTTACTAATTAATTTGCCGAACCAATTCTTCAAAATTCCCCATGGCAGAGACAGGCAGCCCCATGAACGCATACATACACATCTTCCCTTTCTCTTGACGAGGAAGGAACAATATCCCTTCATCCACAGGAAGTTCCACTGGACCGGTCGAAATAGCCTCGCCCCAACCAAAATTGGTGGAACCAAAAGCCAATCCTGACCACGTGCTTGAAATATATGTAAACCCTAATGGACGGATCGCCCTTCTTATTTCGTTATAATCAATCGTAGATCTTAAATGCTCATCATTCACTCGCCGAATCGCCTCTTGAACTAATCCAACAACATAGGATAATGGTTGATCCACAAGGTCACGCGCCTGGCACGTGGCGGCCGTGTACTTTATCGCATTCCCAAAGTACCCTTTTGGCAGTCGAGGCTCGAACTTGTCCCTGACGTTCACGACCACAAGCACCCTCATGAGCTGGTCGCCCGACATCATGAGTGCCTTGGCTCGAGCCTTCCACACGAAAGCCGCGATCGCCTCGTAGGATGAACATTTGTTGTTGGTGATTATCCTTCCATTTTGATCGCTACAAGGAGCCATTGATTCTTGCTTGATCTTACAGATCATGTCCTGGTCGAACCGAATATAGCGGTAGACTACTTCCTCGCCGGTGATCAGGTCAGATGATATGTTCGGTAACGTGTCATACTCGGAGTGGTGGTGTTCGACTCTGAGTGGAGTTCGAGCTCGGAGTAGGGTTCGATCGAGAAATGGTGGCAATGATAACGGAAGCCCGCGGGCAGTCTCCCCCCACGAGTTGATGAATTCAACTGCTGATATTCCGTCGGCCACAAAGTGACTGAAGGCCAGTCCTAGCGCAAATCCTCCACACTTGAATTTGGTCACCTATAAGGACAAAGTCAGCCTTTTCCACCGTGTTTAAGATGTTCTAACATACTTTGAAAATCGACAACGTAAGAAATAAATAACACACATATTTACGTAGTTCACTAACACGATCAATGTTAGCTAGTTCATAGACAGAAGAGACCATTTTTATTATATTTGAAAAGATAGATTATGAAAAATTACAAGATATATATGACACCTTCTCCACACATAATGAGATTCCGTGAGTTCGAGTTAACGACAAATAATATGTTTTTATGCAAGTAAAAACTTTATGGGAAAGGGAGACCCTTGGGCGTTTCCTCGGCTGGAGGGACCAAAGTTGGTTCCCTTATTAGTTTCACGTTAAGTACTGATGTTGCTTGGAGCTCATGATCATGGTGGCCATTGCTGTTTCCACTTGACCTCACCATTTTTGAAGCTCCCAGGAAAATACAGACTTTTGGAGAGAATTTTAATGGGAATGTGTTAGGTGAGATGTTGTGGTATGAAGATTGATAGCAATTGAGGTTAGGTATATATAGGGATCAGGAGAGGAGAAGGCCACTTCCAGATCAAGTTTAATTTAGGTTTCATTGGCATTTTCGACCCATGTACCCTTATATATGTTATGATTTTTTTTTATTAACATTTACGTTATTAGACTATATATATGTCATTTTTCATTTTTTTGTTAAATGTGTTCAAAATTTCATCCAAGTATGGCAAGATTGAGATCGTTTCATACTTGTTGGATGACTCACATTTAACCCATCCATGTTGAAATTTTATATTTTGCTCCTCGAATTTTAATATATAGGTCGTTTGGAGTTTAATGGGCCGGATTTTGAGTAATTCATGGTCTGAATTAGGAGCAAAAGGAAAATTTTAGCACGCTTAGTATGTAAGCCATTAAGAACATGCATGCTTGATATATAGGCAAGCATTAATGCATTGGCAACCAATTTTCCAGCCAATATTTTCCTTACACTATGTTCATTTAGGAGAGAAAAGGAAGGAAAGGAAAAAACTGGGAGGGAAATTACGTTCCCGAGAAGGTTTCCCCTGTTTCCGAAAGTTTCTACAGTATGGAGGGGAGGGAAAAGAAACGGAAGTTTAACTGTTCCACTGGCCCCTCCGATTTAGGCGGAAAGTGTCTCCCTTCCTTTTTCTTCTTTTATTTTTTTTTCTTTTCAATTTGGTTTCCTTTCTTTCCTAGCGGTTGGTGATATTTTGTCCACTTTGTAATCCTATTTTGCTCTCCATTTATTTGGTTTCCTTTCTTGATATTTTTAACTAGTTGCATAGATTAGTCAAGAAAAAATGGAAGTAGTAAGTGATATTACCATAAAATCATTATTTAACTTGTCTTGTTACCTAATTCACGGTAATATATAATTATTAATGGAAGTAGTTAATAATATTACCTATAAAATGTTACTTGTTTTATTTTCTATAAATAAAAATTATTCGTTATTGTTAAACATATTTTAAGAAAGATAATTAGAATCAGTAATTTAGGCAAATATCATCATGGGAAGTCTTACTTGGCGATATAAATTAATTTTTTAGACCAAAAAGTCAAATATTGTAATGTTGAAACTTTTATAATGAAAAAAAAAATCATCATACAAAATAATATTGGATCGGACCATATGGATAATTTACGTCAAGTATAACGTTATTTTGCGCAGACTTGGTGGAGTCACGGTGGTGGTGCCCACCACTTCCTTCTTCGGTTATTTATTTTCCTTTGTATGTTATATTATTTGTTTTGTTTATATATATATATATATATATATATATATATATATATATGGATACAACTCGTATGCTCTTGACTCATAGCATGCTACAAGTTTTTCCACCGTAGATCTAATCTAACGATTGCTAATAATTATAACTAAACTGATTTATTATTAATAAATATAATTACTTATCACACCTCTCGATTAATTTTACGCCCTCTATAAGAAGATATAATAATGATTAAGGATCGAAAAATCATATGTAACGTTGTTATGCACCATACATAACATTGTTGTATGATATATAAAAACTTGTTACGCTCCTCAAATTTATGTATCTGTAATTTGTTGTATGTTTATATATTTAGTTGCTATGTTATTACTCAATAAAATAGTTAACAAAATTTTAGTAATAGGTTGACAAATTTCATTCAAATAATCAACTTTTGATTTGTTGTAGTTAACAAAATTAACAAAGAAGAACAAATTTGATCCACCTTACATAATTATTTAACTATTCTATCATCAATAAAATATAATACATATCACAATTCCCAATCTACTTTTTCCCTTCCACTTTCCTCCATTAAACAACATTTTCTTTCCAATTCCCTCTAATTTCCCTCCCTTCCAAACTTAACCTCCCCTCCAAATTTTCCTACCCTCCCCTCCTTTTCCTCCCTTCCTTCATGAACATAGTTAGAATTGTAAGTTAAAACTGATAAACAATATAATATTACACAAACTGACTTTTTCAGAGTTATAGCATTTGTTAAATAGACATATAGAAATATAGGTACTAAAGCTTTCATTACCCTTTTCTCGTATAAAATACATTTTGTTGAGCTCTAAATTAGACCGAAAAGGTGATCATCACTCTAGCTAGTACTTGATGTTGTCAAAAGGGCCAAGTGACAATTCCATTGCATATGACTAACTACTTCTCTAGACTTTTTCTTCTTTGCACTTGTCAACTTGATGGTTTCTATCACTTGGGCAAAAAATTTGCTCACTGAAATCTTACACTACATGATCTGCTGTGATGTATAAAGATAACTATTTAGGCGTGGACCTTATTGTTTATATATAATATATTCACCATAAACTTGCCAAAAAAGGCACCTAATTGCGTAAAAACTCTTACTTCAATTTTGAGAAGTTGACTTTAAGCTGTGGTGACTGGTGGCGATGACTTCTTAAACCCGTGTTTTAGTTATGGTGCTCAATGGATGACCTGTAGATCCATTTGAAATTTTCTTTTCTCTTGTAGATAATCCTGTAAGCCTAGGATTTGAGCATAGCTCTCGTCTCTCTATTATTTGTATTTTTTTTAGATTCACCAAAAGCGTAGATGGAGTTAATTAAGCATTACTCTTAGGCTCAACTGTTCGCATTTAAAGGCATTGAGCCATTTCTCAATCAACCCTAGAGCTCAATATTATCTATGTTGTTCTTTTTACGTACCTTCTTCCCTTTTCACCGCCAATTTATTTGATGATATTAGTTGCAAAACTTATAAGATAAATTCAATTAACTATATATTGATTATCATGACAAGATTGAGACTATCGTTATCATCAATGTGTTTAATATGTTACGTTTAATTTGTGATCTCTTCAATTAAAGAATAGAACCGATATATAAGAACAAGTTAATTTCAATTTCAAATGATTTATAATAATAAAAATAATAGAGTCAAATAATCGGAACAAAACTAGCATATATACAATAGTTAAACGGAACCTAACTTGTGGCGGGATTTAGGATATCCATGAACTTCCCTTTTCTTTCCTTGCTGTAACTGGTCGGCGGGTATGATTGAGTTGTCAATTCAAACATTTTAATTATTGACGTCGACTCCTCATGGATGGGAATTTCGTTTCAATCCAAACGCCCTTTCATTGTTGTCCTTGTCCAGCTGGTAGTAGAAGCAATCAACGTTCCTTCACCAAGCAAATATTAATTAATCAAGTTGATGGATGGTTGTCCCATCAACGTCAACCACTGTTTCATATTCGGTTTTGAAAACCCAACAAGTAGCTAGACGACCAATAATTCATATGTACGTACTGGACAGAAAATGCTACCAACCAAACTAGCTAGCTTGCAGAAGCAGACTGAGCAGGGTTAGTAGCTACGATTTGATAATAGTACTGTAGCATATATCGATATGTATACGATAGATTGATCTTCATTAATTTGGCTGAGCTTGTGGAAAATGCCTTGTGCGGTCTAGTTTGCTTGTGCTGGATTAGATAGCAGCAAGTGATAGTGGTACAGATGGCCTAATTATCTCTTCTTATTTATTTTCAAACCATGCATGGGAATTGGGATTGGGTGGCAGTGAGATCAGGAATCTCTACCGACCAACTACGTGCCCTATCTCTTCACCCAAATTCTCAGGAAGAGATGGGCTTAACTTTTCACAGTATAGTTCTAATAGTTAACCAACACTTTCTTGTGTTTTTGTTCTCTAATGTTTTTTTTATACCTACTTTGCAAAAATGGTTGAGGGCAAGATTTTGCTGAACAATCAACAAGTTTCTAATTTGTCCAAGTTTTCGCCTACCAAATTAAAGCCTTGAACCAAAGGGTCACTTGAAACCTGTTATCTCTAGACTCTACAAACCTAATTCCCAATATGGATTATGCACGAGGGGTTTCTTTTGTCCAAGTTTGGTCATCAGTTTCTCTCCCACTCCTCCAACTCAGTAGGCGGCCACTGTTATAGGTTAACGTTGCATCATTCAAGTGCATGCCTAGCTAGCTAGTAGTTTATTTGATAATTTGAGTTACAGCACTAGGCTAAGTTAAATGGAATAAAAGCTATTGTATCGCGGTAGTTTAATTCGTAAATCTCAGACTTTAAATCCCGAACTTACTATCATGCTCATTCATGCATTACTGCGTGATTCTTTGCTCGATTTGTGAATCCAGACAAATCATGCATGCATATAACTATGAATAATGCAGGGTGTGTTTGATTTGTGTATGTAGAGACATTAATATTTTCTTTAGTCGATATTTAATATATTATGTGAATTCATTTTACTAATTCGAAATTTTGTTCTGACCTTTTGATTTAAATAAGAATATCACCTTACCTAAACCACATCAAATAATTATCATCCGCATTTATTTTAAAAGCATTTGATTATCAATTCATAATAGAATATGAGTCTTAAATTATTCTCTTACATACCCACATAATAAAATACTTAGTCCATATTGATTGGTCATTTTTATCATGACTAACTACAGAGCTCCTCCTGCACCATTTCCTCGAACTTATCCATCGCCGAAATCGGCAAAGCAAGAAACACATTGAAGCTCCATTTCTCCGTCGGGTGGCTCAAAAACACCACCGTATCATCCGACGGGACCTCCACCGGCTCGCTCAGAACCGGCTCTCCCCACCCGAAATCCGTCGCGGAGAACGACAAGCTCGACCACGTCGTCGCCGTCACCGTGCTGCAACCCCTCGGCCGCTTCGCTCTCGTGGCCTCGCAGTAATCGATCGTCGACCTCAAAACCCCGTCATTCACGCTCCTCACCGCCTCCCGAATTTTGACCACGGCGTGGGAAAGCGGCTCTTGGACCAGCTCCGCCGCCAAGCTGTGGGCCGGGGTGAACTTTATCGCATTCCCAAAATACCCCTTCGGCAGAGGCGGCTCGAATCTCCCCCGCGTGTTGACGACCAGTAAGATTCTAGTAAGCTGATCCGGCGCCGTATTGAGCGCCCGAGTTCGAGCTCTCCACACGAAGGCCGAGAGGGCTTCGTAGGAGGAGCAGGGTTTGGTCAATAATCCGGTTGTTTTGGATTTCGCCGTTTGGATCATTTGCGGGGTGAACTTGAGGTACTTGTACACCATTATCTCTTCGTTGGAGAAGTCGTTGACGGCAGAGGATTTGTCTTCGATGGGGTCGAATTCGGAATGGTGAAACTCGATTTTTGGCGGGGTTCGAGCTTTGAGAATCGTCCTGTCGAGAAATGGCGGGACGGATATGGGCAATCCTCTTGCTGTTTCGGCCCAAGAAACGATGAATTCCGCAGCGGCTTGGCCGTCGGCAAGCACGTGGTTGAAGGAGATTCCTAGTACGAATCCTCCGCACTTGAATTTGGTTACCTAATAGTAGAAGGTGAGCACCAAAAGAAAATAACTTTTAGCGACCAAACATCGAAATAATCATTTTTTGTCACCGATATTAAGCCTGACCACATTTTACTGTCGCAAAAAGGTTAGTCTTTGCAAAGAGAAAAGTGTTACCTGAGCCATCAAAGGGATCTCGAATTTGTTCCCCATGCCATCAGGAGCATCAAAGGCAGCCAGCTTGCCACGTGTAGCCTTATCCGGCTTGGAAAAATCAACGTCATCCAACCCACAGTCGGCCTCCGCCTCAATGAACACAACCCCTTCGCCGGTGCAATTCACAGCGAACCCACCCTCCGGCGAGAGGATCAGCCGGCCGGCCAGAGGGTAGTAGTGAACCAGAGCCTTGCTCAGGGCGTTCTTGATCACCTCTCCGGCCTCCTGGCCGCCGGACTTGAAGCAGTAGAGCGTGCGGATGATGGTCAAGTCGTCGTCGACGTTGGAGAGGAAGTAAACGCTTCCCTGATTGGTGTCCACTGCCGGCGGGACCAAAGTTGGATTCCCTTTCTTCACTTGGAAGACCTTTTCTGTGTTCTGTTTTCCATTGTCAATTTTCCCCATCTTTGTGATGTTTTGGGAGTGGTTGATTCTTTAGGTGAGTTTTGATTGTGTGGTTCTGATAAAGGCCATTATTGGATATGTCATATATATATATAGCGGAAGGGTTTTAATATATATTTTTTTGTTAACAAAGAACCTCCTTTTTCCAAAATTAGAGCGCAGGGAGAATTAGCATATTTTTTAGTAAATTATTTTATATTTTTATTTATGAAAACTATATATTAAGAACAAGGATAGTAAAAGCGTATCGGAACTCCGGAAGTTCTACTGAAAAATTTAATAATAAGATATTTTGTACTCAAACCATTGTTTAACCATTTCATATATCGATTTAGGATGTAGTTCCCTGCTATCTCCAATCTAACCAGCCGATACAATACAATTTCTAAAACAATGATTAAAAGTGTGCCGATTGGACCACTTGATCCAATCCAATTAAAATAACAAGGCGATAATGCCATTGATGGAATCAGTGTAGTCAACAATTATTTTAGTCAATCCACCGCCTCCCTTCCTATCAGCTTTCCTCCTCCAATTCCACCGTGAAAAGGAAGCTGAGGAGGAATTTCATTATTGTCGTATCCATCCATTGCAGTTGCAGGAGACGCGATTCTTTTGATGGTGGTTCTGGTGGCGGTGTTACTCTGCCTCCAACGCCAGGCATCAGAGGAAAAAGGGAAGGGGAAACACTCGATTCTAATATAAGGGCCTAAATTTTTTTGGGTTTATTTTATTATTTTTTATATGTTTGTTTGTTTTCTTATTAGATAAACGAAATATGAAAATAATTTGATGTTTTTTTTTTAATTTGGTGCCAATATGGTTGTGAGTTCGACCGTTGATCGTCAGTTAATGGTGTTGATCATCAAAATTGATATTCAAAACCTGCATTCAGCCAATTGAGTCTGTATGGTGTATAGTTAATTAAGGTCAGGATAGCAACAGGTCAAAATAAGTTATTAACCCTAAATAAAAAAGCTTTAGACTAATCAATAGAAGAGTCTTAGTATTGATTGTAAACTCGACCACATTTAAATTTAATCATCTCAAGTTGAAATTTAATTTTAATACTTAAGCTTTAGACTTCCAAATGGTTTTTGTTATTATTATTTGGATTCGATTCGAAGTGATCATTAAAAGAAAAATAAATAAATTGCACATGATCAGGACATCTTGTTTTCCAATTATCTGCAAAGCTCCTCCTCCACTAATTCCTCAAATCTCTCCAGGCCGGTCCCGGCAAAGCAACAAAAATAATGATACTCCCTTCTCCGTCGAATGGTCCAGGAGGTGTCATTTTTCCGACTCTTTAAAAGGTAGTCAGACTAACTCATTCATCTTTCTCACGCATATGCATGCACCTCTTGCTTATCATCAATCTGCTTATCATTGTTTATGGAATGAATTTGAGAGGAGAGTAGCCTAAATAGCTGGGGTAGTCATTGAATATCGATGGAGTGTTGCACAAAAAATATTGTTTGGTGGGGTTGTTGTATGAAGTTAATGAGATGTCATTATCATCAATCTTACTAGCATTTATATGGAAAATTGTGTCTTTGGCAAGTATTCTTTGTGTTCACAACTTTATCTAGCTCAAATAATTATGATTTATGCTATCAATATCAAGGGGTTGAAAAACATATAATTTCATTATTAGTTGTTGCCTCATATCACCAAGAAATCTGTTATGTATTTAACTACTTATATAGTCATAAATAGGTGTATTAATTTTATGTATATCATATTCATAACAGACTATATATCTATAATTTATGTCAATAATTTTGTTGACCTTAATTATAATCTCACATACAAATTAAATAACTCAAATCATGAGAAGCAATCAGTCAACGGTAATCTATTTTACATGACACTCGTGAAACTAACAACAATACTTTAACTCCATCGAGACACACCAAGAGAAAGAAAAGGGCTTAGCGAAAGAAGAAACAAAGAGATAGAAGTTCACGACATTATGTAATTCCATGCGAGAAGATATATATCTCATAATTATCATCCAATTCTAGATGATTTCTTGCCACAACTTTTGAAAATTCCTCATTGCAGAAGCTGGCAGTCCAGCATACGCATTCAAGCTACCTTTCTCCTTTGGATGAGCCAGAAATATGATCACCTCATCCACAGGCAACTCCGCCGGTCCAGTCATAACTGGCTCTCCCCAGCCAAAATCGGTCGAACCAAAAGCCAACCGCGACCAAGCAGTCGAGATCATCGTACAACCCATTGGTCTTTTGGTCCTATGCACCTCATAGTAATCAATTCCTGACCTCAATTGACTATCCGTAACGCTTCTGATAGCCTCTTGGACTTTACCAACCGCATACGAAAGTGGCTTGTCGACCAAGTCACCAGCCAAGCTTATAGCACTAATGAACTTGATCGCATTGCCAAAGTAGCCTCTTGGCAATGGTGGGTCGAACTTGTTCCTTGTGTTCACCACAAGAAGGATTCTGGTCTCTTGATCGGCCGCCATCTTCAGGGCCTTGGCTCGAGCTCTCCATGCAAAAGCCGACAGGGCCTCGTAAGAGCTGCAAAATTGTACGGGCCCTGGAGGACTAGGCCCATAGATTTCAGCTGCGACTTGTCGCTTCAACTTTTGGATCATTTGCTCGTTGATGTAGATGTAGTCGTAGATGGTTTCTTCTTTGTTATTTCTCGGCGACGACTTATCTTCTAAGACGTCGTACTCGGCGTGGTGGTACTCAATTCTCGGTGGGTTTCGAGCTTTGAGGATGGTTCTGTCGAGGAAAGGTTGGACAGAGAGTGGTAATCCACGAGCTGTTTCTGCCCATGAGTTAATGAATTCCATGGCTGCCTGTCCATCTGCAATGAGATGGTTGAACGAGACTCCCAGCACGAATCCTCCACATTTGAACTTGGTCACCTGAAGGAAATGGAATCTCAAAAGTTGTTTTTATTTAATTTTATATTGATGGTATAATTTTGTGTTTATAGTTAAGTGTAACTTAAGGAATTTGAACGTAGTGTTAGATTGGGATAACATGCATGATACCATATTCTTAACCAACTAATACGTATGTGGTAACATTAATGATATGTATTGATCATGTACCTGAATCATGAGAGGAGGGATTTGGAATATGCTCTTTACACCAGGAATCTCGTACACCAACTTGCCACGTGTTTCCGCATCAGGCTTGGAGAAGTCAATGCTGCCCATTGAGCAATTCGCTTCCGCCTCCACGAACAACACGCCCTCGCCGGTGCAATCCACGGCGAGCCTCCCCTCGTCTGCCGTGGTGGTCACCAGCCGGCCGGCGAGAGGGTGGTAGTGGACAAGAACCTTGCTCAAAGCGTTCTTGATCACTCCCGAAGGATCGTCATCGTTAGTTTTCTTATGGTGATAGCAGTAAATGGTGCGGACTAGGTTTTCATCCTCGTCGACGTTGGAGAGGAAGTAGATTCCTCTCTTGGTCTCCTCGGCTGGCGTTACCAAAACGGGCTCCCATTTCTTCACGATGAGATCGTAATTCTCAACGTAGTTTCCCATGGGTTTAATGTGGAGAATGAAAGAAGGGTGAGGAAAACAGAGCTTGTCTATAATAAAAGGCAATCGGCTAGCTAGAAGAAGCGAGTTACATGTTGAACGGATTCTAAGCCACAAATTCTTTGGTGGGATCATAGAATCACTTCATCATTTTGGTGCAGGTAGGTAGGTTAGCATTAAATTTTTCTTGACAATTTTGAGAATTTGACTATAACTAGGGTGGCGATGGCGATGAATTAAAAAAAAAAAAAGATCCGGCCATTTGAACTCTTCTTTTCTCTTGTAGATAATCATGTAAGCCTAGGATTTGAACGTATATATTGTCTCTCTACCATTATTACTACTTTCAGATTCATCATGTACACATGGATGGGAAGCAAAACTTGATCTTAAAAGTACTCATTAACTAGAATTCTTTGGAGAAAAGATCGTACATCATTCTCTTAAATACACTAATACAATCTCATTAACGTACGTATGCTTGGGAATACTTCTCCCTGCACGGGTGCTATACATAACGAACTTAACCAGCCTTTGTGGACATCTTCGTTGTATTGGTTAAAAAAACTCATGTCGTTGTTGAGGAAGTTTATAATGCTTCATATCATCACTGTTTTCATTTAAAAGAAAATGTTACAAGTTCAACTTGTACCTTCAACATTATGTTTTCATTCAAAAAGAAAATGGTACAAGTTTAATTTGTACCTTCAACATTATAATACAATTAAGTTTGTAACCATACATTTTCATACAAATTTATTTATGGTACAAACTGAACTTGTACTTTTAATGTTATGGTACATATTTAATTTGTAGCAATACATTTTCATACAAATTCTTTTATGTACAGATTGACCTAGTACGTTTGACGTTATGGTAGAAGTTCAATTAGTATCTACACATTTTCATACGAATTTTCTTTTATGGTACAAACTAAATTTGTATCTTTGGTGCAAGTTTAACTTATATCTTAAAGCACCACTACTTTAAAGTATAGTATATTGTTCGTTATTATTAGGTCTATAATTAGGGTTGGAACACACCAACACAATGTATCTTTAATTAACAAAGACATTAACAACATATGAAAACTAATTTGATGATTTAAAAATTTTCTCCTCGCCAAAATATTTGATCCAACTCAGTGAGCCGCCATCAACATATTATAATCCATGTCCGTTTTTCCCTTGCTCTAATTTGTCCACGGGTATGGTTAAGGTGTCAAAATCAAGCAGACCAATTTCGATGTCAACTCTTCATGGAACTTCATTTCAATCCTAACCTTTCATTTGTTGTTTTTTCTACTCCAGCTGGCCCGTACTGCAGAAGCAATCAACGTTCCTTCAAACAAATATATCAATCAAGTTGATAATAGTCCCATCAAAATCAATGACTGAATAGTCATTTTCGCAAATTAGAATTCGATTTGAAAACCCAGCAACAAGTTCTTAGTCCAATATGCAATAGGATGAAAAATGATGCAGACCTAACTGCAAATGTATATAGTACGATTTATCATGATTAATTCGAATATACGATATCAAATAATCTAGTATAGTATCTATGTATAGATTGATAGATTGATAATGGACGTGCCTGCTGCTTTGGCTCAGCATGCATGTCGTGTTCGACCTGTAGAAAATGTCACGAGTGGTCTAGCTAGTTTGCTTGAGCAAGCAACAAGTAATTATAGTGTTGGATGGCCTTATCTCTTCTTATTTTGACTCGATTATGAGGAAAAGATGGGCTTAACTTTTCACAAGACAATGAGAGGAATCTCTACCGACCAGCTGCTAGGGGCCATACGATTGATCTCTTCTTATATTTTTCATTGAATTTCTCATGAAAAAGATGGGCTTAACCTTTCACACTATCGGTGGCAACGAGAGGAATCTCCACCGACTAGGAGAGAGAGACTAGCTCATTATTGTTACACTTGCAAGTTGTAGGTTGCACACACAAAATTCAAACCATAACAATGTTATTTTCTTACTCGACAATGGTCTGTAGCTCATAAAAAAAGATTGATCATGGATATATGTACGAAGCTCATATAAATTCTGAAAGCAAGATTGCTGCAAACTGACAGCTTTATTCATTGATTGAGACTGATCTTTATACACAGACCCTTAACAGAAAGCCCTAAACTCAGGACCCCAAACGGCTATCAATCCCAATCCCTGAGGAGTAGCTAAGATCCTCAACCAATCTGAAACTAACCCTGCAACGGCTAACTGACCATTGCAACCAAGACAAAAATAACAAGGACCAAACTGAAACAAACCAAAACGACACAGCATCAACTTAAATGAAAGACAGACGCAGCCTTTTCCTTCTCCTGCTCGGATTCGGATTCAGGCTCTTCAACAGCAGCAGTATCTTCAACAGCCTCCCCTGAACTGAAGCATATCTGATCAGCTTCAGTTCATCAATCTTCAGTCTTCAGTTCATCACCATCGACCAGTCCAAGCCTGCTGCGCAGCAACTGAAAGGTTTCCAACTTCAATGGCTTTGTCATTATGTCTGCAACTTGTTCACCAGTTCTGCAATGTTCCAACTCAATCACTCCATTCCTGGTCAGCTCCCTTAAGAAGTGGAAACGCACATCTATGTGCTTGCTTCGACCATGCATAACAGGATTCTTAGACAGCTTAATAGCTGAGCTATTGTCGCACATGATTTTGGTTGTTCCTGCTACACATTCCAGCCAACCCATCTGAGTTATGATCCTCTTGAGCCACACACATTGGGCTGCACAGAAGGCTGCAGCTACAAACTCTGCCTCGGTTGTTGAAAGAGTGACAACAGGCTGCTTCTTCGAGCTCCAAGAGATTGCTCCCCCTGCAAGAAAGAAAGTGTAGCCACTGGTGGATTTTCTGTCATCTAGATCACCAGCATAGTCACTGTCAGTGTACCCCAGCAACCAATCTCCTTCTTCTTGTCTTCTGTACAGAATTCCAAACTTCAATGTGCCCTTCAAGTACCTTAGCACTCTTTTTGCCGCCAGCATATGTTGTCTTGTGGGTTTATCCATGTACCTGCTTAGCATACAGACTGCATACATGATGTCTGGTCTTGTAGCTGTTGCATATAACAGGCTTCCAATAACCTGTTTGTATTCAGTTGCACTGACCATAACTCCATCTCCAGCTTTTGAGAGTTTAGTTCCTGGGGCTATAGGATTATGCACATAGTTGCATTCTGCTAAATGAAACCTTTCCAACAGTTCACTGATATATTTTTGCTGAGAAATGAATATACCAGAATCAGACTGAGTTACCTCCACTCCCAGAAAGAACTTCATCCTTCCCAGGTCTGTCATTTCAAATTCTGCTTCCATGGACTCCTTAAATTCTCTCAATAACTCAGAGCTGGTGCTGGCATAGATCAGATCATCAACATATACACTGACCATTAGCACTTCCTCTTTCCTCTTCTTCACAAACAAAGTGTGTTCAAACTCACATCTCTCAAAACCAGTGTTGAGAAAGTGAGTCTCAACCCTACTGAACCATGCTCGAGGGGCCTGTTTTAGGCCATACAGAGCCTTCTGCAGTTTATACACCTTTCCTTCTTCTCCAGGGATCTCAAAACCTTGTGGCTGTTCAATATAGACTTCCTCTGTGAGTTCTCCCTGCAGAAAAGCACTCTTGACATCTAACTGATACACAGTCAGATTGAATTGTGCAGCAAGAGCTAAGAATGTTCTGATGGTGTCCCATCTTGCCACTGGTGCAAATACCTCATCATAATCTACTCCATGTCGTTGAGCATAGCCCTTTGCCACCAATCTGGCTTTAAATTTGTCTATGGTTCCATCTTCCTTCAGCTTGGTTCTGTACACCCATTTTACTCCAATTGGAGTTACTCCTGCTGGCCTTGCAACTAGAGTCCACGTGAGATTTCTTTTGATAGCATCAATCTCCTGTTCCATAGCCTTCCTCCACTTTTCTTCAAGTACAGCTTCTTCAAATGTGGTTGGATCTCCACTGACAGCAGCTAGAGCCCACCAGTCAGTCTCAGCAAGTGCCAGATTAGGCATTCCTTCACAATCAAATTCATCAAAATGCCTTGGAAACTTGCGAGTTCTAGGCCCTAGTTCACTGCTAATTGGAAGCCCCAAAGCATCAGTCACATTTTCTTCCTCTTCTTCTTCTTCTGGATCTGCAGCTGGTGTGACTGGTTCTGATGTTTCAGAACTTGTGTGAACTGAAGTGGTTTCAGTTCCTCCCTCAGCTGTGATTCCTTCTTCTCCATTGTCACCAGCACCACCAGAATCATTATTATCCTCCCCTTCTTCTCCCTCTTCTGAATCAAGCCAGTCTTCTTCTCCTCCTTCCCAAGCCAGCTTTGTCAGAACAGGTTCTTCCTCAGCTTTCCAAATCCATCCTTCCTCTTCATTAAAGACCACATCTCGGCTAATGATGATCTTCTTTGATTCTGGATTGAACAGCTTGTAGGCCTTGGACTCTTTAGACATTCCCAGAAAGTTACACTTAACACTTTTATCATCCAGCTTCTTCCTCAAACTGTCATGCACATGAACATAGGCTACACAGCCAAAAACCTTTAAATGATTCACTGAGGGAGGTTTACCAGTCCACCTTTCTTGAGGTGTTTTACCATCATTGGCTACAGTTGGACTTCTATTCAGAATGTGAGTAGCCCAATCCACAGCCTCAGGCCAGAAGGTTGAGGGGACCTTGGTATCCTCCAGTGAACATCTAACCATGTTCATGACAGTCCTGTTCTTTCTTTCAGCAACACCATTTTGCTGAGGAGTAAGAGCAGCTGTCAACTGTCTTCTGATGCCTGCTTCTTCACACAAATCTCGAAACTCATGCAGCAGAAACTCTCCTCCTCTATCAGTTCTGAGACAAGCAATTTTCCTCCCAATTTCATTCTCTACTTGTGCTTTAAATCTTCTGAAACAGGCTAAGGCTTCTGATTTTGCAGACAGGAAATAAATCCACAGCTTTCTACTGAAATCATCAGTAAGAGTCATGATATACCTTTTTCCTCCATTGGATGCAGGAGTAATTGGACCACATAAGTCAGCATGCAGAAGTTGAAGTGGTTTTATGGCCCTCCAAGCTCCCTTCTTTGGAAACTTAGCTCTGCACTGCTTCCCAATCAGACAGGTTCCACATACCCCAATATCTCCAGTAAGCTTTGGAAGCCCTTGTACCAGTCTTTCTTGTTGCAACTTCATCAGATTGACTTTGCTGAGATGACCAAAACGTCTGTGCCACAGGTGCAGTGTGTCATGCTGCTCAGCATTAGTTTGAAAGCACTGATTTCCTTCTTCCACATGATGTCTGGCTTGCAGAACAAACATCATGTTAGATTTCATGGATGTTTCCAGCAGCAGACCATGTTTTTCATGGTAGATTCTGCAACTTCCATTCTTGATTATAAATTCCAGATTCTTCTCCTGCATCTGACCCACACTCAAGAGATTTGACTTCAAACTGGGTACATAGAAGACATTCTGGAACACCAGAGGGACTTTTCCAACAATCATCTTTACAGATCCTTTCCCTTGCACTTCCAGTTTGCTGCCATTGCCCAGTTTGACATCACTTTTAAAACTGGTATCAAGCTTAGAGAACCAGCTCTTATTTCCACACATGTGGTTGCTGCACCCACTGTCAAGAAACCACCAGTCATCATTCTTCTTCATTGCTCCATTTGGAATCATTTCCTCTGAGTAAGCCATCAACAGAACATCATCTTTGATGTCATTTGGCCCCCAGCTCGAGTAATGAGCTTGCCATTCAGGGCATTCTCGACTGAAATGCCCCATTCTGTGACATTTAAAACACTCAATCTGATCCCTATTCCAGATCCTTCCACGTCCTCTTCCACCTCTGCCTTGATACCCAGTTCTTCCTCCTCTTCCTCTACCATTTCCAAACACTTGCAGGACTTGCTCTTCCCCATATGAGGATTTTGCAAACTTTTGCTCATGCACAAGCAGAGAGCTTTGCAGAGCATCCACAGACATCTCAGCAATATCCTTGGATTCTTCAATTGAACACACAATGTAATTAAACTTTTCAGTTAAAGTCCTGAGCACCTTCTCAACAATCTTGGAGTCATTCATGTCCTCGCCACAGTTCCTCATTGAATTTGCAATGACCATTACCCTGCTGAAATAGCTGGTCACTGTTTCCCCATCCTTCATTTGAAGCAGCTCAAAGTTTCTTCGAAGCCCTTGCAGATTGGCCTTTTGAACACGCGCATTGCCCTGATATCGAATCTTCATAGAGTCCCACAGCTGCTTGGAGGTTGCCTTATGAGTGATTGTCTTGAGAATGCTCTTATCAATAGAGCTAAACAGGAAGTTCTTAGCATTCAAATCCTTCAGCCTGGTTGCCTCCAGCGTCTTTGTCTCTGCTTCATTCAGCTCAGAGTCTGCATCAGCTTCTTTGAACCCAGTCTCTACCACAATCCATAGTTCCTTGGATCTAAGCAGATTTTCCATCAGCATGCTCCAGTGATCATAATCCCCATCGAATTTGGGAATTCCCACTTGAGCAAAGCTATTATCATCACTCATTTTCTGCTCTCGCTGTATTTCACTCACCAATAGTTGGGATCCTCACCTTCACTCGTGTTTCCCAAACCCAGAACCTTTCGCAATTTCACACAGCTCACACTCTCAATGGAACACACTCTGGTTACAGCCTGCAATTGCTCTTATACCACTATGAAAGCAAGATTGCTGCAAACTGACAGCTTTATTCATTGATTGAGACTGATCTTTATACACAGACCCTTAACAGAAAGCCCCTAAACTCAGGACCCCAAACGGCTATCAATCCCAATCCCTGAGGAGTAGCTAAGATCCTCAACCAATCTGAAACTAACCCTGCAACGGCTAACTGACCATTGCAACCAAGACAAAAATAACAAGGACCAAACTGAAACAAACCAAAACGACACAGCATCAACTTAAATGAAAGACAGACGCAGCCTTTTCCTTCTCCTGCTCGGATTCGGATTCAGGCTCTTCAACAGCAGCAGTATCTTCAACAAATTCATCATATGCATATAGTGTTTTAAATCAACCATGTTAATTCACGGAGTTACACGAGATGGAAACACAACACCACACCTTCATTAATTCATATCAAAGTTTCTCATATAATATAAAGGATCAACACTTTTCAATATATGTTTTCTAATTGGGAGTGTGGTCATTACTTCATATAACATTTTTCAATTTCTCGCAACAATACTACAATAGTGTCCATATATATATATATATATATATATATATATATATATATATATATCGGTTTTCTAACATAATATTGGAACGTGAAAAAATTATAAAAATTTATTATAAGTAGCATTTATTTTAACAACTCAAATTATTAACATCCACATTATATATATACATTATTCGAGAATAATAATTTCTCTCTTAAATAATGAACAAGTTTCTAATTTGTCCAAGTTTTCGGCTCTCAATTAAAGCTTTTGGACCCAAGGTTGTTGGAAAACCAACCATTATCTCTATACTCTAAAACCTACTAACTCCCCTATGGATCGCGAGTGGTTTCATTTTTCCAAATTTGGTCACCAGTATCTCTCCACTCCTCCAGCCCATTTTTGTATCTTTGTATTTTCCACCATTTTTGTAGGTAGGTGGTATGTGGTGTGGTAACGTTGAAATTGAATACAAGTGTGTGGCTCGTAATGATTGATTTGATCATTTGCAGTAATAATTAATATAGTTTGCATGCCAACATTCATTTTGTACCAGTATAATACTCGTATACAAATTAATTCGTATTTAAGATCACGTAAATTATATATTCGTCTCATTTGTTTAATAGTTCACGTATTAAACATGTGTAAAGTACCTACAACATGTTACATACACGCACTTTGATATTGAAATTCCGTTGAAAACTTAATAATTATTTTATATTTATATTTACTTTTCAGATTATATATTACAAACATTATATAATTGAAACCAAGCTTTTAAATACATTGTTATGCTAGAATGATGTATAGAGTTCCTTACGTATTTAACTAACTATATACCTATACACTACACTGATTAAGTTAAATGAAAGCAATTATCGCTAAGGTACGTATAGTAAATTTAGGACAGTAAGATTATGTGAAGTTGCTAACTTGCATTGCCATTTGGCATGCATATTTAATAATTTGCACGTAGCTAGACACCAGTCCTTCCTTGGAATAATATCTATCATGTGAGCTCATTTTACTAGTTGAGAAATTTGCCACTTCGGCCTTTTTTTCTTATATGGGTAATATTTACTTTTTATGATTAGATACTATTTCGACCTTCTCTTCTTACATTTGATGAATTTTAAATTATATAAAATAATAAAAATAAATATGATAAGCTATTAGAATATTGAACAAAAATGCAACCAAAGAAATATCTAACAAAACGGCACCATATTGAAAAGACACTATTATAATTTCATGCCAAATACCATTTATCTTACAAACCTTCATAATTATAATATCACATTCAAACAACTCGAATCCAAGAAGCAATCAATTGTAATATATTTTACATGACACTCTCAAAATTTAACTGAAGCGTTAATCTTTTGGGAGGAACAACAAAATACATGGATGACTCCATACAAACATTTAAAAAAGACAGAAAAATTAAAAGAAAAAAGGTTTAGCAAAGAAGAAAGGTGGGTAGCATTTTTCACGACTACATATAATTTCATACGAGACGGTTTCATTATTCCTATCTTCAAATTTTAAACTATTTCTCCCCACAACTTTTGGAAAGTCCTCATGGCAGAAGTTGGCAACCCAGCATACGCATTCAAGCTGCCTTTCTCCTTTGGATGAGCCAGAAATATGATCACCTCATCCACAGGCAACTCGACCGGTCCAGTCATAATCGGCTCGCCCCAGCCGAAATCGGTCGAGCCAAAAGCTAACCGCGACCAAGCTGTCGAGATCATCGTACAACCCATCGGTCTTTTGGTCTTGTGCACCTCATAGTAATCAATCCCGGACCTCAGCTGACTATCCGTAACGCTCCTGATCGCCTCTTGAACTTTACCAACGGCATATGAAAGTGGCTTGTCGACCATGTCACCAGCCAAGGTTACAGCACTGATGAACTTGACAGCATTGCCAAAATACCCTTTTGGCAATGGTGGGTTGAACTTGTCTCTCGTGTTCACCACAAGGAGTATTGGGCCAGACGACGTCCTCACAAGCCCATGCAGACGTCAAGGCTCATATGGTCCATGCGGACGTGTTGGAGACGGCTGTCTTTCCTTCTCCTACACGTACCAGTAATCCTCATTGTACCCTAGATGAATTTGATGAGTTAGGGTATAAATATGTGTGTAAGGCCATCGGCCAAAGCAAGCAATAAAATCACCATCTTTCCACCGTGGATGTAAGCCTCACCAACGTGAGGAAGAACCACGTTAAACCAAGTGTTCGTTTACTTTCAGCTAAATTTCACATGGTATCAGAGCTCTAAGTTCCAGTTCCTTCTTGTCATCAGTCCGCCATGACTATCGGCGCCGACGACACCAAAAACAAGGGAGTTTCCTCCAGCTCCACCGACGATGTCCTTCCGTCGGTCCTTCAGCTGCATAGCTCCGACAACCCCGGTAATATGCTGGTCGGGGAGATCCTTACGGCATCCAATTACGGGGAGTGGTCCCTCGACATGAAAGATGCCCTTATTGCCAAAGACAAGTATGGTTTTGTCGATGGAACCATCCCAAAACCCACTGATCCTCGCACGTTAGCTGCCTGGACGCGTTGTGACGCCATGGTGAAGGGTTGGTTGAAGACATCTATGGACAAGGAGATACGCAGTAGTATCCGATTTGCTGAACATGCATCAGAGATTTGGGCGGATCTTCGTGCCCGGTTCGGTCAGGGAAGTGCCTCACGTGCTTATGAGTTGCGTCGATTGATTAGTCTTCTGCAACAAGAAAAGCACACTGTTTCTGCTTTCTACACTAGTTTGCGGTCATTCTGGGAAGAGTCGGCCGCCATTACTCCTTTGCTCGCTTGCACTTGTGGTCTCTGCACTTGCGATATCTCTCGCAAGGCTCGTGCACAATTAGAGAGTGCACGTTTATTTGATTTCCTCATGGGTCTCGACGATGCGTTCGGAGCAGTTCGCACTCAAATTCTAGCTATGCGACCTACTCCGACACTCGCGGAAGCCTTTCACATGAGTTCAACACCGACGATTTACGCGCCTATTATGCGCGAGAGGGTGTTCTTCTTCAGACATCCTGTACAGATACCCCTCAGCAGAATGGAGTGGTTGAGAGAAAACATCGTCATATCCTTGAAACAGCTCGTGCCTTGAGGTTCCAAGCCAGTCTGCCTGTTAAATTTTGGGGAGAATGTATTCTCACAGCTGTCTATCTTATTAATCGTCTCCCGACTAAGGCCACGGGCAAGAGTCCTCATGAGATGCTGTTTGGTAAGATTGCTCCTTATCATCACCTCCGTGTTTTTGGGTGTTTGGCTTACTACAAAGATACTCATGCACATCTTGATAAGTTTGCTGATCGGGGTCGAGCAGGAATTTTCTTGGGTTATGCAGCAACCCAAAAGGGTTACCGAATTTTTGATCTAATTTCCAGGCGGCTCATAACCTCCCGGGATGTTATATTCCACGAGCACTTGTTTCCCATGCAGGATGAGACTCGGCATGAACTTCACTGGATACCCAGGCCGATTGTTCCTTCCCATGAAGACACCAATATAGCTTCTCCTCTTCGTCCCATTAATGATCCATCCCCAGATCAGTTTGGGCCAACCTCTACTAGAGAACGTGAATCCTTGGGCCCTGGGGCTTCACAAGAGCCCACATCACCCACTTCTGTTCGGCCCATTGAGTCCACACCTGGGCTGCACACTTCCTCTCCTGCCGACAGCGGGTCTTCTTCCGCAACGTCACCAACACGTGACACTCCACAGCAGCGCACGCCTCCTCAGCCAGAATTGCGACGAGGTGATCGCGAGCGCCGTCGGCCCAAGCACCTGGAAAACTATGACACCCAGTTTGCGGGTTCAAGTATACAGGGATGTTCCCAGTCTCTTACCCATTATCCACTTGCTGCTTATGTTGATTATTCTCGTTTTAAGGGTACTTATCGATCTTTTCTTGCAGCACAAACTCGCTATGATGAACCTCGCTACTTTTACCAGGCGGTTCGAGAAGCTTGTTGGCGCGAGGCCATGTCACGTGAGATTGATGCGCTTGAAAAGAATGGCACTTGGAGTCTTGTTTTCCTTCCACCAGGCAAACGTGCTATTGCCTCAAAGTGGGTGTACAAGATCAAGTTCTTTCCCGATGGGACTATCGAAAGATACAAAGCTCGGTTAGTGGCAAAAGGTTATACTCAGATTGAAGGGCTTGACTTCCATGATACCTTTGCCCCCGTAGCTAAACTGGTCACCGTACGCTGTCTTATTGCGGTTGCGGTTAGTCGCGGTTGGCATCTTCATCAACTCGATGTCAACAATGCCTTTCTACATGGTGATCTACAGGAGGAGGTCTATATGGAGATTCCTGAAGGGTTCAGAAAGCCTGGTGACACACGAGTTTGTCGTTTGCATAAATCGATTTATGGACTTCGCCAGGCATCCCGCAACTGGTACCAGAAGTTTACATCAGCGCTTTGTAGTTTTGGTTTTCGATCTTCGGCTGCTGATGCGTCCCTCTTCATCTACCAGCAAGGCAGCACCATGGTCACGGCTTTAATCTATGTTGATGATGTTATTCTTGCGGGAAATGACTTGGTTTTTATGGAGCAGGTAAAGAAATTCTTGAATGATCAGTTCAGCATCAAGGATCTTGGTCCGCTTCGTTATTTTTTAGGTATTGAATTGGCGCGCATTGCCAGTGGAGTTGTTCTCAGTCAGAGAAAGTACGTGTTGGATATTCTCGAAGATGCTGGGGTACAGGGCACTCGCCCCAGCGCATTCCCTATTGAGCAAAATCATCATCTGACACGTGTCACTGCAGATCCACTCCCTGATCCCTCGGTATATCGTCGTCTCGTCGGTCGTCTCCTCTACTTGACGATCACACGACCCGATATTACTTATGCAGTTAACATCCTGAGTCAGTTCGTTCATGCTCCCACTCAACAGCATCTTGATGCAGTGTTTCGCGTCCTGCGTTATCTGAAGTCTTCACCAGGTCAGGGATTATATTTCCCTAAAGACAACTCTTTGCATCTCACTGCTTATTGTGATGCGGATTGGGGAGGTTGCGAGCAATCTCGTCGTTCTACTACAGGTTATTTTATTAGTCTTGGGGGTGCGCCCATTTCCTGGCGTACTAAGAAACAACGGGTTGTTGCCCGTTCTTCTGCTGAAGCTGAATACCGTGCGATGGCAAGTACGGTGAGTGAGCTTATCTGGTTACGGTGGTTGCTTCGAGAACTTGGCGCTGAGCAGACGACTTCTACTCCACTCCACTGTGACAATCAAGCAGCACTTCATATTGCTAATAATCCTGTTTTCCACGAGCGGACTAAGCACGTGGAGATGGATTGCCACTTTGTTCGTGAACGTGTTCAGTCTGGTGACATTTTGCCAGTGAAGGTTCATACTGATCTCCAGCTGGCTGATATTCTCACCAAAGGTCTCGGTGCTGATCGCTTCCATTTTCTTCTCTCCAAGATGAGCGTTCGAGATCTTCACGCCTCATCTTGCGGGGGAGTATTGGGCCAGACGACGTCCTCACAAGCCCATGCAGACGTCAAGGCTCATATGGTCCATGCGGACGTGTTGGAGACGGCTGTCTTTCCTTCTCCTACACGTACCAGTAATCCTCATTGTACCCTAGATGAATTTGATGAGTTAGGGTATAAATATGTGTGTAAGGCCATCGGCCAAAGCAAGCAATAAAATCACCATCTTTCCACCGTGGATGTAAGCCTCACCAACGTGAGGAAGAACCACGTTAAACCAAGTGTTCGTTTACTTTCAGCTAAATTTCACAAGGAGGATTCTGGTCTCTTGATCTGCCGCCATCTTCAGGGCCTTGGCTCGAGCTCTCCATGCAAAAGCAGACAAGGCCACGTAGGAGCTGCAAAGTCTTACGGCGGGACCTGGAGGACTAGGCCCGTGTATTTCAGCCGCGATTTGTCGCTTCAACTTTTGGATCATCTGCTCGTTGATGTAGATGTAGTCGTAGATGGTTTCTTCTTTGTTATTTCTCGGTGTTGACTTGTCTTCTAAGACGTCATACTCGGCATGGTGGTACTCGATTTTCAGTGGGTTTCGAGCTTTGAGGAGGGTTCTGTCGAGGTAAGGCTGGACAGAGAGCGGCAAACCTCGAGCTGTTTCGGCCCAAGAGTTTATGAATTCCATGGCCGCCTGTCCATCTGCGGTGAGATGGTTGAACGAGACTCCCAGCACGAATCCACCACATTTGAACTTGGTCACCTAAAGGAAATTCATTTGTTGGTTAGCGTGATACAAATAGGTCAACCAAATAACATCAATTTACAAATACAACAAATTAAACACCGGAAATGCTTATAATTTGATTCCATTCTATATTGTGCGGGTAACATGCATGATATATTGATGACATATACCTGGATCATGAGAGGAGGGATCTCAAAGATGCTCTTCACGCCAGGAATCTCATACACCAACTTGCCACGTGTTTCCGCGTCAGGCCTGGAGAAGTCAACGCTCCCCAACGTGCAATTCGCTTCTGCCTCCACGAACAACACGCCCTCGCCGGTGCAGTCCACGGCGAGCCTCCCCTCGTCGGCGGTGGTCACCAGCCGGCCGGCGAGAGGGTAGTAGTGGACAAGAACCTTGCTCAAAGCATTCTTGATCACCTCCGAAGGACCGTGGTCATCGTTAGTTTTCTTATGCTGATAACAGTAAATGGTACGGACGAGGGTTTCGTCCTCGTCGACGTTGGAGAGGAAGTAGATGCCTTTCTTCGTCTCCTCGGCTGGTGTGACCAAAACGGGCTCCCATTTCTTCACGGTGAGATGATGATCATAACCGTAATCGTAATCCTCAACGTAGTTTCCCATGGGTTTGATTTGGAGAAGGAAAGAAAAGAAGGGTGAGGAAAAGAGAGGTTGTCTAGTAAAGGTTATTTGCTAATAAGCACGGTTTGTTTGTGTCATTAGAAGGAGGACCGGGGGTGTCCTTATATAGAGAGATAAAGCAACCTAAACGTTTGAACGACTCAAAGTCTTAATATATTCATTTATGTTGGAAGATTGATGCCCTTTATATTAATGTGTTGTTAAAAGGTGGTACTGAAGATTACATAAATTATCTAAAGAGTTTTAATAATTAGAGTTATACAAGGGAAAGGAACCAAAACATTATTTGTAGATTGATTCTATTGCTACTATTAGTTTTTTTAAATAATAGTATTTCTTAACCGCGGACCTAAGTTTTAGGTGGAAGCCTAACCTTGGAGTTAAATGACTATATAACGATAATGACACAACTTGCTTTTAATTTGAGCACAACGATTAAACCTCCAATATCATTTGGTAAATGATTTTCGATGGTTTTAAGTATTCTGTATTCATGCATGTTTCTTGCTCACAGCTCAGCCTCACCGACAAATGTACAAAGTTAGTAATTAAATTACCTTCACCATACCCTTCAAAAACAAAAAAAAAAAACCCCTTCACCATCCGATCAAAAGGAACTATAGAACAGGGTATATGTTTTTCACTTTTTCTTTATAAATGGTCAATGATATTTTTCCAATATTTAAAATTCATGTACCAACTACTCCCTTTGAATCTTTAATTAGAATATATAAAGAGATACTGTTACAGGAATTTAATCAACTAGTTGAGATGGATAATTAGTTTTTTATATTATCTCACTGAATTTGGATATATATAGACGGTATATCTTCATATCAAGAGAAAACCTGATAATTAATGCTTGAGTTCAATAAAAGAAATATATAATAGAGAGTGAGTTTGTGTAAATTTCAACCTCATAAGTCATGATGGTCTGCCTTTCGTTTGAAGTGAGCATATAACAAGATAGTGTAAGATTCATAATCATAGATACCTCTCACAACCACTTGAGTATTTGGACTTTCAAGACTAGTTGATTAAGTAGGTGTGTTGTCATACACTTCTTAACGAATTTCGATTTCCATAATCACCGTCAGGTTGTTTTAGCATTGAGTTCTACATAAATGGGTTTTTATCAACGATAACTCAGTTTTGGTTCGTCCATCTTGTATCACCAGTTTGATTTACTAAAATATCCCTACAACTTAGAGCTCTTGGTTCATCGACACAACAAAACAATATTATTGTCCTACATATTTAAAATATGATAATGGGTCGATGGTGTTGCATCCTCCTAGTCGTTGTTTTTGCATAACGGAACATATTTTGATCTCTGAATCTTCAAAAATAAAAACCCGCTACCAACCAAACTATTTTATTAATTATCCTTTTGCATCTATATACAAGTTAGAAGAATTATTTGGATGTCAATATGTTGTGAGCCTCACCGGAATTCATCTCGCTAGCCCCCGTCTCCCAAAAAAAATATAATGTAGGTCACCATCTTTGGAATTAATTATCCTTTTGCATAACCTAGCTAGCTAGCTTTGGATATATAACCTTAAAACGGATAGTATACATGAGGCGATCGAGTTGATTAATTAACATATATTATTATAGAGGTGATTGGCTGAGTTAATTAAGCTCTGTGAGCTTATTAGACTTTTGAGTTGGCCTGTGATTTAAAAGATTAGAGTGCTGGGAGTTTGTCTCCACTAATATTGATACACCAATTAGTATCTTCCATTCGATAATAAATTAGTGATGCAAAGGTAAAAACAGTATGGCTCTATGACCCTATCTCTTGGTGCGATCTATAGATAGATTGTATAGTTGGCCTAAAAATTGAACTTAAAAAAATGTCAACTTTCATTACTTCCCCTTCACGTCAATTTAGGGGCGCCGAATTTTTCATGGGTTTAGGTAGTCAGCTGTTATGAGGAATATTTCAGTTGTTGACATTTTTTTCATTGGTTGGGGAGATCAACCACTTGCAAATAATGCATCACACGGTTACCCATTTTTCATGTTTCGTATAATTTATTATATACAATCATAATAATTCATCTGCTCCGAAGCTCAAAGTTGAGGACATCATGATGTAATACTGTGTTTACAACACCAACCCCATGAAGAAGAAGAAGAGGCTGATGAACAGCAACAGCTAGCACCCCTTTTGCCAAGGTTGAGCGGCCTGTCCCAGGGAGAAACAAGCAACCGTACGAGAGAAGTGAGTATTGTTGGGTTTATACGGACGAGGATGTACGTATGATAGTTTATTGATTAACATACGATGCTACAAATGAGGAGAACGAAGAAATGTGAGCACCAGAGTGCTAGGTGTACTTTCGGCTGATATCGAGGGTATCATAAGGATGCTCAAGGTGCCCAATGCATTCCACTCTCTCTATTACTTGGCTCACAGTACTCTTATTAAAGCTACGGTCTGCGGCTAACTAGTTGGGTTTCTATTATTTGGCTGCAACTAGAGACCGGGAAGATTGGACATAAAAAGGTTTTACAATCATTGTAAATAATATGACTCCATATTGTTATATAAATAACTCTGGTTTACATAAAATTTTGTCCCTAATTGTTTATTCTGGTTTTACTAACCCCTAATTCAATATCAAATTATCCACCCTCAAACAAAAATTTGTTGACAAACTATAAAAATACATAGTGGGTCATTGTAAACATTAAAAAAAAAAAATTATATATTCTATTTTGGCATCTAACTCTCCTGCATTGAGTGAAATTATGGCTATGCCTATGTATATCATTATCATATGCTTGATCGACCTTTTTTTATAAGGGCAATATAAAAATAAAACATACTATTAAAGTGATAGAACAGAGAAAAAGCAAATGCAGAACAACAAGCTATGTAAGAAAAGTGAAGCTCATGGAAAGTCTAAAAACAAAACAGAAAATGTGAGGAATATGAAAGGACAATTGATGAAATAGTTCTTCATTGCTTATTACCAAAAGTTTATCCTAATTCATAAAAAAAAAAGTTTATCCTACCTAAAAAAGAACCAAAAGTTTAGATAACAATAAGGCATTAATAAGGTGTAGTTGTTATGATTTATGTATTAATATTTTTCTTGAACATAAAAACATAAATAGAATATCGATCTATTGATAATACAAGGATACTAACATTCAGTATTAATTATGGAAAATAATTCAACTAGATATACGAATCAAGTGGCTGCTTAAACTGCAAACCCAACATCATATGTTTTTTGATTTTTTCAACTTAATACAGCTTACAGGGAAGCTCCAAACTTCATTAGCATAAAAAAGAATTTTTTTTTTTTTGTCATTCAATCACTCTCATAAAAAGGAAAATATAAGATTTATACATAGTAAATTACATACTTCGAAAACAAGAAACATAGTCGAACCTCGAAAGCAAACGAGGTGACAAAAAACCCAAAGCTTAATGAGAAGGAAATTTGTTTAATGGGCTTAGAGTTCAGATATAAAGCCCATGAACTTAGTTGAAACTTAAACGAACAGACCAAATGGAACCCACAGAAGTCAATAGGCATAAAAAGAAAGTCATAGAAGACATGAAACCCAAGGCTTTCATGGAGTTCAACACAATATACAAACAAAAGATCCACAATCAGATTTATTGGTGGGCTAATATAATAAAGTCCATGGGCTTAGAATTCATAGTCTAGCCCGTTATATTTTTATCTACCAATATATATTTCGGTTTAAACAAAATTCAATTTTAAAATGTAATTACTCAAATAATTTATTATTTTAGCACAACCATAATATAAATTTTCTCTTTAACTTCAAAATCAAAACATAACCAACCATCGGCAGATTTCAGGAGCTACCGACCCGTGACTGGGAGGTCAGGATACATTACATCTATCACGAGGCGAACAAATGCACAGACTATCTTGGGCATTCCTTGTCGTTGGGTTTTCACTGTATTTCGAACTCTACCCCTGCTCTGTACCATATGCTTATGTATGATTGTCAGGTTCTTTCTAAGACTCGTTTGGTTGCGAATGAAAGCTAGATGCGCTGCATCCATTTATTAAATAAAAAAAAAACAACCAACCAATTTTTGAGTCCTCATATATTTTTTTTCCGTTGAATCAATTTTTATATTTAAATGAATTCAACTAAGAAAATCTAATTAGAGTTATGAGTTCAAAACCAAAATGCAGTTTGCATGGTCATTACAATTAAAAAGCTAAGAATGTTCTATCCTAATATTTGATTAAATCGATCAGCAAATTTTATTACTTTATCAATGCATCACGAATTCACGGTAGGGCCAACCTGAAATGTTAGGCTTTATTTTTCACATGACTTTAAATGAATAAATGTCAATTTACGGGGACTAAATCGATAAATTCTACTCGATCCAAAAATGAAAAAACAAACAAACAGAAATTCGAAGAAAAATGAAAAATCCCAAAATCACAGAGACACTCTCTTTGGCTCCGTGACCCCCTTCTAGCCTTCCCCTTCTCTCTCTCCCTTCCGGCTTTCTGCGATTTTCTTCGAACCCTAGAGAGCGCTCTCTGTTCCTTCCTCTGGGCTTCCTTTGCAAATTCCTCGAGCTCCCTAAGGCGATCCTCCCCGGTTTCGATCTCGAATCGCCCGAACTTCCGCTTGCTTGGTACGGCAATCGATCACTTGCCATGGCCGACGGAAAACTCAATCTGCCCGATGATCTCATCGGCTCCTCCAACTTCTCCGAAGAGGACCACTCCCTGATCAAAGGTATGTGAAGGTCAATTCTTTTGATGTGGGATGTTTCAGTTCCCATTTCCTGGTGTTACAAATTTGCCTACTCTTTCTTTTTTATTTATGATGGCATCGGATGGATCTCTCGTCAGCGAAATCTATCTGTGGATTTTCAGCATTGTGCTGTTATTGTAGATTTGTGCATTGATTTTCAAGATCGGTCTTGTGATTTTTCTGTTGTTAGGTGAAGGAGGATGGGG